GACGCGGAAGCGGCAGGCACGCTGTACCTGCCGGGAAGGAGGGTGTGTGATATTGGATTCCCTTTGAAGATGCCGTGCATTGCAAAGGATGCAGAGGCGCCCTGTTGGCAGTTGGACATGGACATCGACGACGTTGGATACGGCCTCGTGGTGGCGGTGTAGACCACGCAGACCTGGCGTTCGCGCCCTGAATGATTGACTCGGCGGCGGTCAGGGGCGTCTCCGGGTGTCTCACAAGTCTCCAACCTCCACAAAATGGACAAGCGTGGCCCAATAGGCGGCGGGACTGCAAAGGCAATACGTTGGTTATTCAGTCGTTATGCTTCTTTTTCGCTGTCTCAAACCCGGCTGGTGCTTTGGCCCCCTGGTGGCTTCTTGTCGCCTGCTGCACGTTCTAAGCAAGTGCTATGCACCGTGCCTTCCCTCCCTTCTAGCGGCCTTCTATGTGCCTTCCAAATCTGGCCCATGCTCCCACATCCCAGCAGCCTCCAGGAACCGCTGAATCGCTGCACCTGGTGTTGCGACCCAATCTGCGCGGTAGTGGAAAGGGGAGGGTGAGGTATCGTGGCGACCGCATGTAACGCCGGAGCCGCAACTCTATGCTGCTTGTCAAGTCACGATGCATCATCAACTCCAGTCGCGTGGTAAGGTCCAACATGGGCGTTGGAGACTACCGTCGGCTTGTGGATCCTCATCTGTGCACAAAAGCGCCACATACGCCTCAAACAAGGTCGCAGGACTGCCCCAGCTCCTTGACAGCTAGCAGCGGCATGCTAACAGGAAAGGTCATGGTGAAGCTGTAGTGTCGCGAGCGCGAGATGAACGCAAGGATAGGGCCGCTCCACAGCTGGACGCGCTGCGATGCATTGATCGAGTGTATTTGAACGTGCCCTGCTCCATGCTGTCAGAAGAATGCTTGCCCGTTCCCTCTACACGCACCACATCTCCAGACTGCTAGGACCAATCACCTAGAGCCTCAGACACAGTCAGCGAGCAGAACTGATTTTGCTGCAGCCACGATTCACCTTTTCTTTTGCCGGCCCTAGGGAGGAACACGATCGACCAGCGCCCCCATCAGTCCACGACAAAGTTACCGACCATACCGACCCTCTTGTTGGGCGGAAGCAATCTAATCAGCACTCCGGCCCAAAGTGTCTTGTACGTCACGTCACCACATTGTCTAGGTGGACAGCCAGGACGCCCGAGAAGCAGAACCGCCGCGCCGCCCCCGCCACTCTTCAGTTTGCTTGCGGTGAGACGCGCAGTTTCGTGTGTCTGCATAGCCGTTCGTCTACATAAACCGCAGTGTCAGTGTGGTGGGCTTCAGACGCTTTGACAGCGACGCTGCCTGCACATCGTGGTCCCTTTTTGTCGACTAGCGCCTAGGACGATCCGCCCAAGGCCGAATCTGCTCTAGCGCCCCTACGACTTTCTGGGCAACTACGCGCAACGAGGAAAGAAGTACCTGCAGACTCTCCAACACCACGCCCTCCATCACCGCCATCCCCTGCCCTGCCCTCTCGCGCGTCTATATCTATCTCAGGTACGTACTCCCGCTTTGCACGATTCCCTTTCGCCCCGTGCAGCCCGCGCATTCCCGCTGCAGGTCCTTCTCACCGCTCCACTCCCCTTTTCTCCTGCTCCGACGTGGCCAGCGTGACTGCCAGACCGACAATTTCTGGCGCGCCCTTCTTTCACCCTTTACCTTGACGCTGCTGCCACGACGCCCGCTCAACCTCGCAACTGACATCGCCATCTTCAGTAGTGCATCCGCTGCATTGACCTACGCGCGGCCCCTCGACGACTCGACCTGACGCCCTCACCCACGCCCATCTCTGCTGCGTCCTCGCCCGACGCCTGATTTGCATCATCCTTACAGGCTCTCACCCTCACTTGGTGCGCACCGTCCCGTCTCTTGCTCATCGGGCCTGCAGTGCCTTGCCGCTTTCCGTCACGCGCATCCCGCCGACCGGAGAATGGAGTTGGACACGATTCTGAACCAGAGATTAACAGCATCCCTAGGAAACGGAGCGCTCACCATGCAACACGCAATGCAGCCCCAGCACTTCGGTGCGCCCCCGAGCTACCTCAATGGCGGCCACATCAAGTCGGAGAACGGCTCGGAGCGTGGCGTGTCGCCGCACCCGTCAGACTCGTCGCGCTACTCGTCGCAACAACCGCAGCAGCAACTCCCCTCGTATCCCTCGATCCCCCAACAGCACATGAACGGCCTGCGCTACCCCTCGCCCTCGCAAATGCAGGCGCCCATGCCCATGCTCAACAACAGTAATTACATTCCCAACCCGCCAGAGCACGCGTACGCGCAGCAACAGCAGCAGATGGCGGACGCGCAGGTGCAACACCAACACAACGGTGGGCGCCCCGCGTCGGACACGGGTCCACCTAAGGCCTTCGCGTGCTCGACCTGTGGTAAAGGCTTCGCGCGACGCAGTGACCTCGCACGTCATGGTAAGAAGCTTTGGCCCCAACATCAAAAGCAGAGCACTGACAGCATGCAGAACGTATCCACAGCGGTATCCGCCCTCACGTGTGCGACTACCCCAACTGCGGCAAGCAGTTCATTCAGCGCTCCGCCCTCACGGTTCACCAACGTGTCCACACTGGTGAGAAGCCGCACATGTGCGAGCGATGCGGAAAGGTACGAAAATTCTGTTCTGCACTGCATTCACAACTAACATCGAAAAGCCTTTCAGTGACTCCAGTTCGCTAGCCCGCCACCGTCGCATCCACTCCGGCAAGCGCCCATACAAGTGCCCATACGCCGACTGCCAGAAGACTTTTACGCGTCGCACTACCTTGACGCGTCACCAGAACCACCACACCGGCACTGTCGAAGAGGCCGCTGCCGCCACTGCTGCTGCGCTCGCATCGCGTGCCTCTGCCTCGAGCAGGACCGGTCGCTCCGACGGTGGTGACTACTCCGAGACAGCATCGCCGCTCGGCACCCCTTCGCCCAATGACCGCAATCTCTCTCTTTCACCCGCACAGGGAATGCCTCCTGGTGGCATGCCTGGCCTGCACCGCCAGGGCTCCGACTACGCCTACATGGGCGGTATGAACGTCCCTCCTCACATGCGTCATGAGATGCCCCAGCCCAGCCCTCGTGCCTCCCCTGCGCTCACAGCTCAGTCATACACATCCAACGTGAGCGGCTCTCGCCCAGCGATCACCTCTCACCCGACCGCCTACGGCCCACCGCCGATTCTTGAGCCTCCTGCGTCTGCAAACCACAACCAGTCCGGAGGCACCACCAGCGCCAACGGCAGCCCTCACATGTCCGCCATGGGCTGGCAATCACCGGGCCAACAGGCTCTCCCCTCGCCTGGAGCCCAAGACAACAACGGCTACGTCTACCCAGAGCCCCAGTACCAGGCACAAAACGGAATGTACTACCAGCAAAACAACATCCGTCGTCCCAACAGCACTGAGCCGGATCACTACAATCCCAACCACCGCGAGATGGGCAACGGAATGTGGGCTCCTGCTGTCCAATAGAGTTGCGGCCCTGGCGCAGTTCTCCCACAGATCCTGGAGGATACATCCGACGTAACGCTTGAGCAAGCTCTACCGCGGCGTCACGGTTAATCTTCCCCACTGTAAAACTAATACATGCGATCACGCCAACCTAGGGAAAAGCTGAACAGCCTGGAGCCTACGTTGACTTTGGGTCGCCTCCTTTGCAAGGTTTTGGGTCAATGTAGTCTGCAGACCTGTTCAGTTTTTCCCTGGTATGAGGTGCGATCCTTACTCTGGTGTTCTCGGCAGGCAGGACCATACCCTGTTCCACAAAATTTTCTTACTGGCATCCCTATGGGCTAGCGGGTCATTGAGCGCGTTAGTTTTCCTGTTTCTTTCGACTTGCCCATATCTGTTTGTTGCAAGTCTTCCCATCTCCGGGTCGTGGTTATCTGGCGGCGGTTTTTCCATGGGTTTTCGTCCATTCCTCTCGAGAAGGGATGGCAGGCGTTGGGCGTGCCTCATACACACCAAGACGGGCAAGGGCGTCCGGGCTTGTTCCGTTTTGTCTTGTTTTTCATATGCACCGGTAAACCTCTCTAGACTGGTATTTAATGAAGGACTTACATCCGCCTCTTAGACTACACCACTATTCTGCGCAAGCGGAGCCAAAAATTTAAATCTCTATAATACACTCACTCCACGGTATGCAAGTGAGATGCGTAACATGTGAAAAGCTATGCCATTTCCATTATGGTAGGCACAGAGATGTTGTGCTCCCGTCGTGCATGGCAGGAACGTGAAAGAGCTCGGCTGTACCTGAATACCCTGAAGGTGTTCACAGAACTTTGAATTGACGATAAAGTTCGACAACAATACATGCTTGAGGGTGCATCCCAGTTAAGCGTACAAGTTGCTCGAGACGAGCGCCTTCGTATTCTGTGTGCTGCCCTACAGTCGCCTCATTGGGCTCAGCGCATTGCGAGCATTACCCGTTGCATCCAAGATCTGCCCAGGCGACAAGAGAAGCCTCGTCAGCTCATTCGCAATAGCTGCGTGCTGCTCGCACAGTTGTTTCACGACAAAGAAGGATATCCAAGTATCTAGCACGAGTGAATGCCACAATATCAAGACCAATGTCCATGTTGGACCTCAAGTGAAGGTGCTGGTGGTGCCCGGCATTGACGTCGTCGCCGCGCTTTGACCCTCGAATTCGGTCGCTCGGCCCTGTCCTATGCAGGCGGTCATCGCACCAGCCTCGCATTACGTCTATCCACGTCTCTCCTGCATGTCCATTTTACCCCAGCTTGCCACAACCCACGCTGCCATACTTCGCTACTCTCACCATCGCTGGGCAATCAATTCCGACGACAAACCGCGCTGTTGATTGCTTGCGCCCGTCTACTTAGTGGCACGTCATCCGCCCAGCGCTATACCTCAGCCACTCCTCTGGCGACGCTTCCCTCCCGACAGCTCCGACCCAACGACACCACACACCGAGAGACGGAAATTACGTCGCGACCATGAGTAAAATCGCGAGATCGGTCAAGAACGTGACCAAGGGGTACAGCCAGGTCGAGGTCAAGGTCCGCAATGGTATGGAGTGCCCACGGAGCTGCATGCACGGCGTAGCTGACCATCGCAGCGACCAGCAACGACCCATGGGGCCCGGTCGGGTCTGACATGGCTGAGATCGCCCAAATCACCTTCAATAGGTATGACGACTGCGAAGGCTACGCGAGCCATGCTGACCGCTACCCAGCTCGACCGACTTCTATCAGGTCATGGACATGCTCGACAAGCGCCTGAACGACCGCGGCAAGAACTGGCGTCACGTCCTCAAGTCGCTGAAGGTGCTCGACTACTGCCTGCACGAGGGCTCCGAGCTCGTCGTGACATGGGCGCGCAAGAACATCTACATCATCAAGACACTGCGCGAGTTCCAGCACACCGACGAGGACGGTCGCGACGTCGGCCAGAACGGTAAGCGCGTCCTGCTTTGCGAATTCGTGCCTTACTAAGACAACCGCAGTGCGAATGGCAGCTAAAGAGCTGACTTCGCTCATCCTGGACGAAGAGCGCCTGCGCGCCGAGCGAGCCGACAGGAAATCGTGGAAGTCGCGGGTAACGGGCATCGAAGAGTACCCCGGTGGAGGCCACCACGGCCCAGATGGCGGGGAGAGAGCCACGCGCCCGCGCAACGGCGAGCAGCGTCGCAACCGCAGAACGGAAGAAGAAGATCTCGAGCTGAGACTCGCGCTCGAGGCAAGCAAGAACGAGGCAGAGGAGGAGAAGAAGCGCCGCGAACGTGGGGCCAGAGTCGAAGACACCGACGATGACTTGGAAAAGGCCATCAAGCTGAGCAAAGAGGAGGAGGAGCTGCGCCGGAAGGAACTCGAGCAGACCAACGCCGACCTACTTTTTGGCGAAACCACCGCACAGCCGAATGCCTACCAGCCCACGGGCAACAACCAGGGGTACCAGCAGCAGGGCCAAGTGGACTGGTTCGGTAACCTCATGGACCAGAACCAGCAGCAGCCTCAGAACACTGGCTTCCTCAACAACGCATACTCACAGCCCACGGGCATGCAGCCTCAGCAAACTGGCTTCCAGAATGGGTTCGGCGGCTACGGTGGCTTCCAGCAGCAGCCCCAAATGCCACAACCTACCGGCTATGATCAATTCGGCGCTCAGCAGCAACAGCAGCAATACATGCAGCCCCAACACACGATCCAACCTCAGCAAACCTCGTTCAACAACAACCCGTATGGTCAATTTGGAGGTGGAGGCTTTGGTGACATGGGTCAGCAGCAACAGCAACAACCGCAGCAAGATCAGAATGCGCTCCAGCCTGGCAGTCATAACCCGTGGGCAAGCAACCAGACTCAAGAGTCGCTCAAGCCGCAGCCCACTGGCTCCAACAACCCATTCGCTCAGTCCTTCAACCGACCGCAGCCCACTCAGACCTTCACGCAACCGACGTTGAACTCGTTGAGCGAGCAGAAGACCCAGACCCAATTCAACAACACCTCGTTTAACCCACCGGTATCCTTCTCTCCTGCACCGGCAGCGCAACCACAGCAGCAGCAGCAGCAGCCACAGGCGCCACAAAAAGAGATGGACCCGACCGCTGCCAGACTCAATGCGCTTCTTGCAACAGGCGAAGGCCAGGACACTTTCGGCAACGTCGGAAACATGCGTATCCCGGCTCAGCACACAGCTCCTGGAACATTTGTCAACTCGGCTGGCGCGGGCTTGAACCGGGTCAACGCCAACGCTACCGGCAATAACCCGTTCTTGAACTCCCAGTTCACCGGCATGCCGCAGCAAAACCGCATGATGCCCGCGGCAACTGGCCCAGCGAGCAACTTTGGCGCCAACCCTTACGGCAGCGCGAATCCATTCGGTGCTCAGCCTCAGCAGCAGCAGCAACCCCGTCAGCCTGGTGCCAACAACCTAATAGACTTATAGTGTGCTAGTCTAGAGGGTAAAGCTTGCGCTTCGGGTCATTCTTCGATGCTGAAGCGTGGCACTCAGGTCTGCCCCAGATCCCCTCTCCCTCAGAGGCCCAAACCCGCATTCACGTATGGCAAGGCAGAGAGGAGCTTGGACGAGGCTGGTGGGAACGCGTGGTCACTTTGATTCCCTTATTATTATTTTCCCCGACCACTGCGGTTTGCATAGAGGCGAGCGACGAGCGCAACGAGTCAGTGGTGGCTAGTGTAGATAGCTTGATGAGACTATTCAACCCATGATAGTGCAGCTCGTTGGTGGTGCCGCGCAAATGTCTAGATTGAGACTGGAATCATTAATCCCTATTCTCTTTTCACGCTCCTCTCCGTGAAGTGAAAACTTGAAAGCTATCGGGTACCAGCACGAGACTGCGACGGCCTTTTCCTATTGTCCATTTACGCCCTCTCACCGTGAATCGGGAAGCTATTGTAAAATAGGCACACGTGACGCAATCTTCATGCGCACTGACGTTTGCTGGGCCCACAGCCGTCCTACACGCTATCGAACCCCGCAATCATCCACCTCCGCGTCGAGTCCACCTGCACCTTGCCGTGTCGCGAACTTCCTTGCCGGCTATTGTTTGCGCCGCTTTGGCTTATTGCCATTGTATTCACTTTTACGCTTCTCTTAGCCCAGCTGTTATCGAATGCCGCGCACCTGTTAGCATTGTCTAGACCTCACGCTTGGCCAGCAGACTTCACGCTACTGTACTTGGCGACTTCGACGCGTCACGGCCAGCCAGCCATCGTTTGATATACAGACAAAACAAATACGATTACTAGCATCGCCATTTTTACGATACATTGCTCTACCTCCAGAGCCTACATGGCTTCAGAAGACGAGGCAATGCGCCGACAAACACGCCCGGTGTCCGTCATGAGTAGCCGAAAGCGTGCCATTCAAGAGGAGGAAGTGGAAGCGCATGCGCCAGAGCCTAAGAAGCTTCGTACTGGTGGCCCAGTTGAGGACGATGTGGTCGGCAGCAAGCCTCACGCTGCTGTGGCATCAAGCTCGCGAGCCCGTAGTGGTCTTCTCACGCCAGAATCCAGCACCTTGACCGAATCGCAACTCGAGCCTCCAGTCGACACCTCAGAGACATCCGAGACTGCAACGGCAAACTTCTTCCCCTTCATGAAGCTTCCCGCCGAACTGCGCATCCACATCTACCACATGGCGCTCGTGCGCGAAGAGCCGCTCCTCCTGCACGCCGACCGCGCGCCCGAGAAACCCGAAGACGGCGACGACCTTCTCGCAGCACCGCGCCGAAACAACCTCTACGCCCCATACATGCCCGGTCGCGAACTGCCCGGCCCCGGCTACGCCTTCCATCGACCCAGACAGGGTCCCGAGCGCATCCCGCTAGACGACCCCATCGTCCCCGAGATCCTGCGGCTGAACAAGTTGATATACAGAGAGGCGCGTCAGGTCCTGTACAGCGACAACGTCTTCACCCTCAGCCTCACAAGCGGCATCCACACCCTATCCACCCTCCACCAGCGCTCGCGCAGCCTCATCAAACACGTCGTCCTTACCATACCCTCCCACCACGACATCCTCGACGGCTTCGCCGACCTCGTCCGCCTAGGTCTGCGCTACTGCTGGGGTCTCAAGACCTTCAAAATCATCCTCCAAGCCAGCCTACCAGATGACGGACGGGTGACCGGCGCGACAAGCGTATACGCCAACGCATTCCACATACTCCGATGGCTGCCTCGCGGCTGCAACGTTGGTCTCGAGGGCAACGTGAGCGATACCGTCAAGCGCGTTGTCGCCGAAGAAGGCAGATTACAGGCTGTACTTGATGAGGTGAGAGAGCAGCATTCTGAAACAAGGTGATGATGTGAGGATTGTTGGGAGCTGACCAGTGTTGCAGGCGAGTTATCTCAAGAGGCAGCATCAGATGCCGGAGAGGCATTAGTGGTGTCGGTGTGGTGGCTCTGTGTTGTGTCTTTTTGGAAGAGCTTGATCTGAGATGGTTCTTGGGTGTGACGCTGTTGATGATGTGATGGGTGATGGGAAGTTGCCCTTTTTGCTGGCTTTGAGCCTTCGCGCGAGCGCATATCGGCGCGTCTTGCGTCGTTGTCAGCGAGGAGACTGTACGCTGAGTCGCAGTATTGACGATGATTCGATGGAAAGCTGCCTTTTTGCCGACTTCGAGCCTTCATGCGAGGACATGTTGTCGCATCATGCGTTGTTGTCAACGGCAAGCCTGTACCTTGAGTTGCAGTGTTGATGATACGATGGAACGTGGGCTTTTGCGAGCTGGATCAGAGACTCGTGTTGTCTCGTCTTGCGCACCTGGGCAGTTATGAGCAGAAGCGTACACCTTGAGTAAAGCTTCTCTCTTCCACAATCTCGCCTTGCGTGACGGAGGAAGCACGTGTTATCGCATCTTGCCTATCCGTTAGCAGCAAGCCTATTCTACTGGGAGTAAAATACCTTCCTCTCGCAGTCACATACTGGTCTTTCGTCTCACATTAGGTCTCATAAACACGCGAATGATCAAAGTACAGCCTCCATGGCCAGCCCAAATCAATATCAGGACTCGATTGTTGTCATAGGTATATTGTTCTCTTCGTTGAGACATGCCTGCGACTGCTTCCCTCAGCTTCTTCTTAGCAAGTTGCGTAACGTCACCTGCCATAGAAAAAGTCTTTAGAGTAACGTGACAGACATTGCCAACCCTTGGAACTTCTTGAATTGACGATGCTTCTCAGCCGAGATGACCTAATTGGGTGGTTGTGGTATAGATTTCGGAAGTCGCGAGTGGCTCGTCTGCCTCGTGTCACATGCGCAGTGACATTGTGAAAAGCAGACGAAATAGACTCAAATCAGGTGTCGCATCGCTCCTGTGTTTACGATAGTTCTCCTTCGAGAGGACCTGGTTGGGTGGGGGCATACGAATCTCGGAAGTTGTGAGTAGTCCATCTGCTTCGCGCCACCGCCGGCATCACTCTCAGCAGTTGAACGTGACAGACGACCGCCACACCCAATGCTGTAATTTTATCGTAAGTTATGAATAATGCACAGCTCGCCCCTTTCTTTCGAAAAGGCGGCGTGAGATTCCTTGTCTCGCGACTGCTTACGCAGCACCTTAGCTCCTACCTCTATTGGCTAGTAGCTTACGATGTTGACACGCCACAGGTACAGTACCATCTCAGCTCGACATTTGAGCCTGCTAGCGAGCGAAGTACCTGGTAATCCTCTCGTCATCGCACGCCTGAGATCGCATGCGCTGCTGTACCGAGGTCTGTTTGCGCTTGCCAGCGGAAGTTGTGGCGGTGACGCGTCAACTGCGCCAGCGAGACATCACAAAGCCATGAGAACTGTCTAGAAAGACAGTACAAAGCATCTTATCATTAGATCGAGGGCCGAAGCGCGAGTCCGAGTTATAACCGCCACCTGTTTAGGTGCGCGGATGGGAGACACCGCCTCGTACCACCAACACTGCTCGGCACATTGGCGTCCAACTTCTGTTGGAAAGACTCAGCTAAAATGAAGCTTCTCAGATGATTCAGCTTCTTCGGAGAGTGCTGGTGCAGGCGGTGGGGATGAGGTGGATGTCTCTACCGCCTGCTCCGCCTGCTCCGCCTGCTCTCGTGCATCTTAGCATCCACCATACATACGTCAGATCGGATCGCGGTTCCGCGATGATTCAGCTCTTTGTAAAACGCAAACCCCAAGGCTATCCTGTTCGTCCAGTATGCCCAATGCGGAAACAAGTAATCTTAGGATTGAGTGACCAAGCGGCTCTCAATCCGCATCTGTCGCACAGCATTACCGGCAGCCATGACTAAGTCTTCGAAAAGGAGACCCTTCAGATTTGGCATCTCGGATGACCATATCTTAATGCCGTGCGGCGAAGTTAAGACCATGGTTGACGGCAGCATAGTGGTGAAGTGCGTTACTTGCCTCCGCCGCCAATTGGGGCTGTTGCTATTCTTGTTTTGTTTAATCAGCAGTGCCCAGGAAAAGCACGGCAGCGGAAGCCGTCGCCTGGCTCTACCTAGTCAACGTCGCTGTAGGGTCTAGGCTAAGCTCTGTTTAGTACTTGGATGTAACCCTGCCGTCTTGCAATTAGGAACTGATCAGCGGCTCAAAAGCAAGCCTTCGCCAACGCTTTCGGGCAATATTGATCCCATCGTTCTGGTTACCGAACACACTAGCTGGCGCCATGGACTCTCCTCCCACTACTCTATTGTCACAGTCTCTTTCTACACCCGATGCGCGACCAAAACGAGCGGCAGTGAGTGAGGAACCTGGGAAGAAGCCTAAGAAGCCCAACAGCGAGATACGAAAGCAACAGAACAGGATAGCTTCACGTAATTATCGTACGTCAATCCGCAGGTCGTCGCCCGTGATGACCACATCTAATAACATTTGGTATAGGAGAGAAGCGCAAACGGAAGCTCCAGTACCTCCAGCAGTTGATCAGGGACGACTCAGAGGGCCGTCAGGAGTCAGAACCCTCGCCTGAGCAGCACGAAGTGTACCCGCGCTCTCTGTCCGCAGACTACGACATTGCAGGCGCGAGTTCATCACCATACCAGATGTCGTCAAGCCGTGTCTTCGGCGCAAGCAGCGCAGTTGCAAACGAAGCCGTCCTGGCAGCTACCGTCGCATCCCTGGATCCCCATCACCTCGCAGTCGACCAAGCGTATCCTTCTTACCCGCCTCATTGGAATACGCATATTTACTCTCCGTCTCCACCAGCGAGCATACCTTGGAACATGCCGCCAGCTTGGATGTCGAGTTTGGACTACTCTGCGCAGGCCATTGCGACCACTCGTCCCTCTATGTACCGATACCACACTCATCCAGCACAGCCATCGTTTCAGCACCCGCATACACCATCGCTGTCACATCTCCAACGCGACTTCCTGCCGAACACAGATGCCTATGGCTATGGCGCAAACTACGCATTACACAGCCAGGCGCCTGGCAACCCGAACGTGAGTCTGCCTACCTCGTACTCGTACTCGCCGTATCATCAAGGCCGACGGACCGCTCCACATTGAGGTTCGAGATCCTCTTCCCCCCGTCTTTTGCCGTATGGCTTGGGTGGAGACAGCAAGTAAGCTGACGTGACCAACACCTAGCAGTATGCGCTTGGATGCGATCCTTCGGACTTTGGACGGCTGGTTCATATCTGAACGTCGACAACGCATGAAATTTAGCCAGCTACCTCTCGCTCAGTGCGAGCAATGCAGACAAAACCGTGCCAGAACGTCTTCCTCCCAGCGCAGTCAACGCGAAGGCTCTGTTCCGATGAGAGAAAACGCGCGTCATAACTAGACCGGCAAACTACCACGCACGGAAAATAACCACGACGATACAATCGGCCTTCAGCTGTCTCCACAGTTCGCATCGAACAAAGTATCTTACTCCATCGGGCTATTGTTCACGCGCGGAAGCCGCGAAAACAGCTTACGCCAAGACTACTGCCACGCTGGTAGCACCACATCACGATATCTGAGACACATGGCCACGCGGTCTTGCGTTACTTGCGGGAGTATGGGTGAGATGAATGAGATGGAGGGCTATCTCGCCATGCCATAACGTATCCATGTTTTGAGCAAGCGTGGATACGTAGGCATTGGAAGGAGGTTCACGGCGATGAGCTTCACCTAAGAAGCCAAGAAACATCGACACTAGGGAGGGGGTTTGCTTTTGAGGTCTGTGTTGTTGCGGCTGAACAGCTAACAGCCATGCTGGGTACGGAGGGTGTTGGACTCGGGTGGACTGGCGTGACGTCAGCTGACCGGTCACCTTTTTGACCGATACATGCTGCAGCAAAATGGGGAAGTAAGATCTGTGTATACTCCGATGGAATGTCAAAGATCTATACTGAGATTGCGGGTACGCGGATACGCCGTTCTTCGTGCTCCTGTTGTGAAATGGCCTTCGGTTAAGCGCCTACATGGCACCGCCACAGTGTAAGCGCCGGGATCAGGATCGTCGCCTCAACCTGTTTCAGCCTTGCCCAGCATGCCTACGAGGCGCGTAATACGCGCGGTAGGATTAATAAAAAGCACTGCATTCATCATGCCTTCAACAAATCTGCTACTTGCAAAAGGTGGAGTTGACCTTCACAGTATTTGTCTATATCCTTGTTGTCATGAGACGAACACCCATGCACACGTCGCCTTATGATGGCGAACAGGCAGTTGCAGGGGCGTCCTTAACACGTCACTCAGAGCTCTTGTAAGGCGATTTGCATGCAGTATCGAGTTGTATTGACCTTTCGTAGGCCCATGGTCAAGAGATTCTATCCCTACGAATCCGAGAAACATCTTGCTGAAATAACGACAAAGCTGGGTCGCGTGTGCATAGAGTCCACGAACATAGACAGAGATGCGGAAGCGTATTTACGGCGTCGCACGAAGGCCGAGTGAGTAAATCTGATCGCTTTGAAGGGGCGCGTACTAATTTCGTGCAGGTCTCTCGCCAGGAGGTTCTACGGGGGAAATGAACGGAGTATCGCTCAACACGCGGACCAACTTGTTCAAGTGTCTAACGAAGAGTTCTCTTTCTACGAAATCTGTTGCCGCGCATGCCGTGAGTTCGGAAGTACTGAGGTGATCCGCCGAGAGGAATACCACCGAGAGAAACATTTTCGAATTCCGAGGCGAGAAATCAAGCTTTCAAACTTGAGGGAAGACTGCAGCTTTTGTAACATCCTGCGAAAATGCCAGCAACGTTTTGCACCACGTTGTAGGTTGATCAAAATATGCTTCCAAGGAGATAAAAGCGACAAACAGATATGCTTTCAAGAAAGCGTAGAAAATGACAAATGTAGAGACATTCACGTTCAGCTGTACTCAATTGGTAGGTCTGTTATCTCGTTGGAGGGTCTTTGCTGATATTATAACAGAACCTATAGCTGCCATTCGACCGGGCCCCTTCCCGTTCATGAGAGAGTTTGATCAAGATGCTGGTTCACAAGCCTCGATTGATGTCATGAAACAGTGGATTGATCACTGTCAGAAGACACACGATCATGCTCCAACAGGTCATTATCGTGGGCCTTCACGTCTGATCAAGCTGAGTAAGAATGAAGAGCATAAGGCACAGATCTGCTCACCGAGAGTTCCGGTGAAGTTCGCTGCGCTTTCCTATCGTTGGGGAGCAGACGCGAACTCTGCAACCTTGCAAGCCAATGTCAAAGAACGTTACAAGAAGCTGGTAACATCAGACTTTCCTCAAACTCTCCAAGACGCTATTCGCGTTACTAGAGGACTGGGCCTCGAATACCTCTGGATTGATCGGATCTGTATCATCCAAGACGACGATGATGATTGGGCGAGGGAGGCATCAATCATGGCCGACATCTACGAGACTGCATATGTTGTCGTATCAGCCACCGCCACCGAAGATTGCAGAGATGGCTTCTTGAGAAAGAGTTCGAGGCCACCGCTCGTTCTCAAGTACACACAGCCTGGCCAGGGAACCTTTGAAGTGCGAGCAAGACAAATTGAAGGCCACAATTGTGACTGGAAGGCACCGAATATCCACTACGCATTGGATTCACGGGGTTGGTGCTTCCAAGAAAGATATCTAGCCCGCCGCACTATCCACTTCCTGCCCACCGAGATCGTCTTCCAGTGCGAGCTTGAAAGACAATGTGAGTGTGGCGCAGCTAGCAAGGAGGACTTTGACTACAGCGAAGACGACGGACTTGGCACCTTTCTAGACCTGCGGGACGAGCCGAACCTTGACCCCAAGAAATTCTTTTTTGGAGCCGATTGGATGCTAATTGCGTCGGAGTACAGCAAGATGAATCTCACCTATGGAGGCGATTCACTTCCGGCGCTCTCAGGTCTTGCAGCCTCTCTAGCGCACTTGAAGGCTGGCGAATTCATCGCTGGACTTTGGCAGAAAGACATCGTATTCCAACTCGCATGGCACATTAAGCCAAGCCTTGATTACCGGCGCTGGACCTTTCCCGAACACGTTGACGTGCTGGGCCCCACGTTCTCATGGAGCTCGCATGCGCGTCCTGTTGTCAAAGGCCGTGAAGACGCTAAGAGAAATATATGTACTCTGAAAAGCTTCGAGGTTGACCTGGCCACATCCAATCCTTACGGGAAAGTTCGACATGCATCGATCCGCCTCAATGGGCCGGTGGTGCCTGGACGTGACTTGATTTCATGGTACAAGACGTCCGATGACAAGCAAGACACGGCGGACGTGTACCTTGACTCAGGGTTATGTCTCATGGTGCCATTTCTTTACCGAGATGCCAAGAATACTGCGCAATATACGAAGCTCGAAAGGGAGATAGACTGGGATTCTGTGATCTGCTTCGGGCTGTACGAATGCGGAACCTGGGCAGCGATGCAGCTTGATGTTCTCTTACTGCAGCCAAGCAAGACGAGGAAGGGGGACTACGTCAGGATTGGACTTGTTAGCGGCATGTGGAAGCCCTGGTTCTATGATAGGGCCGTGGAGCGTACGATTACCGTAGTCTAGCTAGATAATTCGTAATAGTATTGGCTGGATACTACAACGCGTCCCAGCGAGTCTTATCCACGTTCTCTCCCAGGTCGTCTGCGTCTTCTTCCACCCGTTCTCGACTCATTCGGTGGCTCCTCCTGTGGCGGTGGCACCTCACCCGCAGACCACCTATCCTGCTCGTCCCTCAAGTCGATCCAGCGTTCGTCTATCCCTTTAGCCATTGCCTTGTCTCTCCGTTCTTTGCGTACGACGCTAGCCGTCACACCGCCCTGAACCAACAGCTGCATCCCTATTCCTTCTTCCGTACCTTGCTCATACATACCCAAGTTCATGACTCCACCGTCTGGGTTATAAGATTTGTGAACATCAATGATGTTGTGATGTCGGACCAAGCCGTATGACAGCATGGGATCCGGGTAGGTATCCGCGATGCCGTGGAAAGTAAGACTTTGGACGGCGCCTTCAAGACCGGCATACAAGTTCTGTGACGTGGATGACGGAATGGAAAGACTGTAGACGGGAGAACCTTGCTGCGTGCGTGAAGCAGGGTTGCGGGGTCTGAGGTACAGATTCCAGCCGCCACTTTTCCTCGAACTTTGGCTTTTGCTATCGTCGATGATGATGTTGGTGGCCGAGTCGCGCGGAACCGCTTTGTTTTTTGGTCTGCGACTAGGGGTGGAAATGGTGTGATATGCATGCGAGCCTGATAAGCGCAAGTCGAACACCTTGATCATGCTGTGTAGAGCTACACCTGCTACGAAGCGTTCTCGCCCTTGTGCGGCAAGAGAGTATACTGCCGAATCGTTTGTTGGATCCCAGAAGATCTGTTCGAAGCCGCACGGCGAGCGCATGTCATGCAGCCTAACGATGCCATCGTAGCCGCCAGACAGGAAAGTGTGGCCTGCTTCGGAGGCACCCGGTGATGTGCTGGGTAATGGGAGTATAGAATAAACCGCCGTGTGATTGGAATGCGCTAGGCTCGCGCTGGCCACATTGAAGCGACGCAAAGGCTCTGATACAAAGCCTTCGGGCCCAATGTGGTAGACCTCGATAGGTTCGGCGTGGGGGCCCCATCCAATGGCGACAGCATCATCGCTTATGAACTCGCATGACCATATTTTCCGCTGTGGTTTCCCGTCTAATACGGCCTTTGTTGCGGAAGAGGGCTTGATTGCTTGATCCGAGAAGTTGTGACGATCGATAGGGTAAACCGCTAGCGACGTGTCCGAAAGTGCGGTGGCTAGCAAGGGCGTGCTCGAAGACGATATCGAAAGAGCAGCGATGGCTCGTTTTCTGGTTTCATCAAAGACATCAGGACGGTCAGTATTATAGTTTTGCACCCGCGTCTCTGCAAAATCAGGGCTGACGCTGAGTAGCGATAGCTGGCCTGATGCCGTCCCAAAGACGATGTCTTCGGAGGCTAAATCTCGTTGATGCGGACGGAGCAACTTCAAGTTGACGATGTCGTCGCGACCTTCAGAACTGTCTGGGATCTTATACGTGAACCACGTATTTAAGTGTCTGAACGCGTCGTACCTCCACGTTTGATCAGGCGCCTGGTCGAGCCCATCTTCGCGTTGTCTGATCTTCTCGATGGTCGCACCCGTCTCTTTAGTCCGCATGACAATCTGCGTACCTGCAGACCACGCCAATACTTCTTTTCTTTCTCCCCACGATCCATATATCTCTTCATAGCTGTCAATGCTAGGCTGATAGCCCATTGTCTGGCCCTGTGGACCCCTCCATCTTTCGGCTCGCCAGGTATTCATGCTCATCGTCTTCTCTGTTGGCTCTAAGTATCTCGCGATCAGACCTCTTCGGTCCCAGTTTCGGCATAGTGTTGTCACGCCGTGAACGGCGTTGTAGGCATCCGCGTCCAGACCGCCCAGGCCAAAGCGGCCTCTAAGCAAAGCTTTCCATCCATCGAGCTTTGCAAACTCGCTCAGTCGGCGGCTTGCCAAAGAGAGGTAAAGTAGATCTCGCGGTCGTTCAAGATGGGTCGTTATCAACGAGAGGATCTCATTCGGCAGTGTGTCGATAGTCGCCATGCTGTAGTCGCTCTCCTACACTTTTGCTCAAGGCTTGGACGACGACTAATAATGTAATGTTGATATTTGAAGTGTCGGTAATCAGTAAAATGAGCGCAGTGTCGGCATGGTGGCGTTTATAGGGCTCATGTTTGCTGGGCGGAAAAGTGAATGCCTAGGTGTCTCATCGGACGATGACGACAGAGTTCTCGCTTGGTGGCGTTTGCACTAGCCACATATGAGCCGAAAGGTCTGGGGAGTCATCGATCATGGCGACAACAAGGCCACTTTGTGACTCTTCTTCGTATACTGCACGCCTAATCCGGACGATATCAGCTCAACCCAAAGCGGTTGTGCAGTCAGGAGACAATACCGTTTTGTACCTGACATTGAATTGCGCCGCTCAGCACCCGCGCCGCAAATTAGCCGGCATCCTTCATCAGGGACCGCCACACTACCCGCTGGCCGCGATTCCCCTGGCATCAAAACGCGCTATCGCACCGTTGAGATCACGGCTGCGACTGATGGCTCGTTCTCGCGACGAGGCCGAGCCGTTGTTGTTGGAATCCCGCACTGTCAGCACGCCCTGTTGATCGCGGTGCAACTCTCGCCAGACAGCCCCATCGCGCCCCAAGCTCGCGGTATCTTCTCGGGTCCAGGGCCATCCCTATAAGCAGGCCGTCCATCCACCCCCGCGGACCTGGCGCTGATGACTTCCTTGTTGTGTTCCGTCTTGTGACAATCATCCGCAAGTGCCAACCTTAATCCTGGCTGTTTCTGACTAAATGCGCGGGGTCTCGCGAGCGTTGCCGTCAGTCGCAACGATTCTTGACAGTCAGACACTTGTTCAGCAATCCGGCGCCGCCCAATCGATCCACGACATTTGTTTTGCTGCAACGCGACGCGACGCGACGCTACTGCGCCATGGCGGACGATGAGAAAAGGGTGTTCGCCTTAATTAGCGCCATCGGCACCATTCGCGACCAGCTGCGACAGGACATCGACGGCTTGCGACAGATCCACAACCGTTGGAGAGATAGCAATGGCTCTTCCATCAACCTCATCGCGCAACTAACAGCCTTGAAGTCAAGTCTCGGTAACATCCTGGACTGGCTCAATTATGCTATTAGCGACCTCCATCCACAACTCGTGTCCGACTTGGACGTGCTAGCGCATTCTTGTGGGCTGCTGGTACGCCATGTAGATGCCCTGAATGCGCGTCTGGACTACCGGGACCATGGTGCTGTCGACGTCGCTTCCAAACTAAAATACAGTGTCGCTAGTAGATCTATGGAGCGACTGCAACAGGTCGCCCAACGACAGAATGATGCCGTGAACTTGCTGCTTGCGGCATGTCAATGGTAAGCTGCTAATCCACCCTACGTATAATTGATTCTAATGCCTGTCAGTACCGCCCAAGCGCAGCGAAAGATCCTGCTTCATAAGAGCCGCCAGATCAGAAAGGAAGATGCGGCAAATCTGAGGACCCTCACCCAATCCTCGAAATTAAACGGCGCTTGCATTACAAGCCTTGCGCAATTATCGCGATTCATCCAATGGCTGAGACTATTGTTCCACATGAAGATTGCGCGGAACGATTTCGATGGAACAATCACACCATCGGACGAAGAGTACGAGCATATGGCAGCAATCAACCGGTCTGAAGCAATAGATCGTGCTTTGGAGAGAGAAGCTACTAACCTTCGGCATGAGACTAAGCTGGTCCTTGTAGGCAATCCACAAGGTGGCAAAGAGCTGATAATGCATCAGCTGAAAGTGCAGTTCGCCGAAGGTTATGATAAGACGGAAGAACGATTGAAGTACCGCCCCGCAGTTTACCAAGTTGTAAGATCGCTCATATCGTCGATCACGAATTTACTCACAGAGACCGGCGTTACACTCTCTGCCGAACTGACCCACGACTTCGCGATCTTATTGCACGAGCTGGACGCCAGAGAAGACGGCATATCGTCCGACGCCGTCAAAGCCATCACCAGAATCTGGTCGTGTCCCGAATTCTCCAAACTCTACGTCCGCAACTTCGAAATCGACTTCCCACAGTACGCGCCGTACTTCGCACAAGAAGCCCCGCGCATAGCCGAAAAAGACTACGTCCCCAACGAAGCCGACATAATCCGGCTAACCCGCTCCGGCGGCGGCATCAACGAGACACGCTTCGACTGGGACGAGCTCGACATCCACCTCTTCAACATCAAAGGCTACGTCCCACAACACTTCAAAGAGCGCTGGTACCACCAACTCGAAGACGCCACCGCCGTCATCTTCACCGTCGACGTGTCCCTCTACAACAAACCCAGCCCCGAGCGCCCCTCGGAATCCATCCTCGTCCACGAATTCGAAGGCTTCGAACAATGGGTCAACCGCCCCGGCTTCGCAAACTCAACCATCATCCTCATCCTCAACAACTTCACGCGTTTTGTTAGTAAAATGGCGTATGCGCCGCTGGAAAAACTCTTTCCGGATTACACACGCAATGAATCGGATCCGGAACTCAGTGCAAGACAATACATTCTAAGGCGCTTCAAGAATATGAATCATCAGTCACTGAGCATTTATAGCTTTTGGGTTGATTTGGATTCGTCAGATAATCAGCATTTGTATGGCGCGCTTAAGAAGACGCTGAGTAAGGTTCAGGCGACGAAGGCGCAGGAACGGGCTTGGTGTGAGGGGCTGGAGGCAAGGACGGAGAGTGAGAGGCCGAGTACGAATGGGCTGAGCGTTGCGGTTAGTGACGAGAGGACAAGGAGTCGGAGTGGGGGGAGGAAGAGGTAGGAGGGGGATAGGGTGGGGGGTTGGTAATTTGATGGAGCTTGGATGGGGTGATGGGTTGGTTGGATGCGGTCATTGGGCCGGTGCGCTGAAATGGGATTAAAGACTGGACTGGTTCGATATCTGGGGTCGGGGGAATGGCTCGGTATTTTGCTGTTTGGGGACGGCGTTTCAGGGATTGAAGATACCATGGTGCGGATTATTTGGATAATAGACGTGGAGGAATTGAGCGGAGCAAACCACGCCGTTGCTATTCACATGGAACGTCGTGCATAGATTGGTTATCTCAAATAGATTATATTGTAATGTTTAATACCCATTTAGAACATACTCGCTTCTTGCGGCATTAGGTCGAGTCACAGGACAGTTCGATGCATTCTTTGATTCGCACGTCGATGTTACTTAGTAAAGTTATCGGCGCGGCCGAAATCTCGCTGGCACGTCAACCTAAGGGAAACCTGGACAGGTCTAGAGCCTACATCGACGTTAGGCTACCTAATTTGCAGGTTTTCTTCTTGATGTAGCCTCTAGAGTGTTTAGTTTTTCCCTTGTATGAGGTGCTGGGAGCGTTCTATTACCCGTCTCACAAGTCTCGTAGTTCAATCGTAGGGAGCAGGTGAGCATGTGCGCCGCCTTCGTTCTCACGATCCCACGCCCATCGTTTGGCAAGAGCGGGGTCTAGGGTGCCATCCAGCATCTCCACGACGTAGCGACCGATCGTTGGCATGAATTTCCATCCGTGGAAAGAACCGCCTGTCGCGAGGTAGAGATTCTGAGAATGCGGGTGCGGCGTGATGATGAAGTCTTGGCTTGGTGTCACTGCATCCCTAGATACTATTAGCCCGGTCCGTCATGGTGGTTGCGCCGCGCAACTTACCAGCACACACGATACTCGTCAAACTTGACGTTCTTCCCAGGTTCACCCAGTATGCCGTTCTTGACGAGTTCAAGCCGCTGCTTAAGAGCTTCGTTCGGCTGCCTCTGCGCTTGACCGGGCTCGTTCGGCGGGGAAGAGAACTCTTGACCCGATGCCTCGTGTTTGACGGTGTTCTTATAAGCCTCGTCTCTGCAGAACTTGACGGTGTATGGATCTTTGTTAGACAAGGGTGCTGTCAGTGGCATCACCTCCCCTACATCAGGTCAGTATGAATATGAACGCTGGAATTTGGTCTCCTCACCTCGTGTTGGTAAGACAGAATGTACTGTGACTGGAATCTCGGTATACTGCTGCCCCTTCTTTGGGTCTAGGTTGACGATGCCAGTGACTACTGCTCCAGCGACCAGGCGCCCGTCGACTTGTAGCTCGCCTCTGCTCGGAGCACTGTCGGCGATCAATTTGGCGGTCCCTGCACCAGTAGCGAGGATGATGCGATCTGCTGTGATGTTTTCACCACCTTTCGTTAGAACTCCAGTACATTCTCCATCAGTACCGAAAGTCAATACATCGATGTCAGCTGCGGTATACTTGACTCCTGCCTCGATCGCGGCGTCCGTGTAAGCGGTTAAAGCCTTGGTAGCTTCAGCCCACCCACTGTCTCTGTTCACGAACACTTCGCCGACTTCAGAGAAATCGGTGTGATCGTAGAACGAACCGTACATCTTCTTGAAGCGCTCCGGGCTCGCCATCTCCGCATCAACCTTAACTCCAAGCTTCTCATAGTTTTGCAGCATCTCTTTCCCCAGTTCGGTATTGTCGATGTTGATCATACCGCTTTGGTAGTAAAACCGACTGAAGAGTGGGTCATCTCGCCACAGCTGTATGGCTTCCAACGCCTTCTCCATGTAGAAGATGTCGCCATAGTCTGCGCGAACAACTTTGTTCCAATCCCAGGATGCGGCGAGAGGGCAGGAGTACTGTGTTCGGTCAACCAGTTGTATATGTGCTTCGGGGTACTTCTTGATCAAGTGGTAGGCAGTGGAGACGCCGAAGACTCCAGCCCCGATGATCAGGGTTGATGGCTGCGAGCTCATCGCGCATGGTAGTATCGTAGCGAGTTAGTGAGTGCACTAAAACTTGTGGTTGTGCATGAGTTAATCTAACAGTTCGCATGCTTCATGCATGGTGTTGACGACCAACGTATGAGTCGAAGACGGCAGGAGCGAAAGTGGTGATGACGCACACCCCTGTCATCCCCAGAATCGCGCTAGTCCCCTCAACGCGTCGCGTCGACCAACGCTCCAACGCCCCAACTTATCGATTGCTCCACCCACCCACCATGACGCCCAAGACGCGTTCCAGCAATCAAGATGCCGACTACAAGGTCTACTATTCCAAGAAAGTACCGCAACAGGTTCGCTTTCCACACAAGCGCAAGACTGTGCGCCGGCGCTCGACTCCCGTGCGCGATGGGAAGCGGCAGATGGTCTTCCTGCCGGACAAGATGAGGAGGCAGGGTACTCCTGTTGTTGCCGACTCAGATGAGGACAGCGACACAGATCTGGAGGAGGATTTGGAAGACGGAGGAGTTTCTATCAAGGCTGAGGTGGAAGAAGAAGAAGAAGAGCAGCCTGTGAGGCAGACGAAGCGGAAGGGGAAGAAGAGGAACAGCGATGGGGTGCAGCGGGAAGATGGTGGAGAGAAGGAAACATCGGCACCTACATCTAAACGCCGACGGACGGCAGCCACGCCTAAGAATCCTCGCCGCTCGAGGCGCGTTGAAGCCGGATCCGATGACGACGACACGACAGCTACCAAGACCAACCACGAGCGCACATTACGGCGACAGTCAACAATGACACAACTGGTAGACGGAAGGAAGCCTCTGCCAGACGACGAAGAGCCCAGTTTCAAACCCGTGAAGCAGAGCTCGCGACTGAGTTGGGGTGGACGTGGCAAAAGCGAAGCAAAGAGCGACAGGAAGCAGCGCACGTTAACGCAGATGATACCAGGCATACGGCCGCAGGAGATAATGTCAGATGAGGATCTAGACGAGATATTGAGCGATGTCGAGGCAGAAGACAGGGCTAGTCAGACCTACGGCGATGCTGTTGCGCAGCGCCTGGCCCAACAAGGCTTCTATCGTGTCGAGGGAAATGGCGTTAGCGAGGACAACGGTGCAAATGAAGCTGGAAACGACATGGAGCAGAGCCTCGAGGACGAACACATAAAGAAAGAGCCCACAGGGAATTCTCAGGATACCCCGGAGTTGGTGGTGCAGTCCGTGGAAGACGAGATGGACGAGGACTGCGAAGACAGTTACAAACCCACACAGTTCATCGAAGCGTCTGTCACAAGAACGACCCGCGCGACGAGACGAGGAAACAGACCACGAGTCGCAGACACGGAAGAAGCTTTCTATGCGCCGCAAGGGCAGATCAGAACCCGCAAAGCCCGCTTCAGCCTTTTATCGACTCCAGAGAAACGCCGTATTCGCGAGATTCCCTCCTCTCAGTCACCCGCCGACTCGCCACTATCGACCCAAGTCTCTCCACAAAAGCTACACCGATCCCCTCTCAAGCAACGCTCTGACAACCCAATACTTGTACCAGACACACCTTCGAAACGTAAGCAGGTTACTTTCAAGATGCCTTCGAAAACGCCTATACCACCAACAACACTGAGGAAGTTTGAGAGTACGATCCAAGACTCCGAAGACGAGGATGATGGTGTCATAGAAGAAGACCTGCCTACTGTTGGACGTCACGGGGGTGGGGATGCGCAAGTTTCTTCCGGGCGCCGTGAAGCTGCGACTGGAAAAGCCGTTGGCGCTGATACTCAGGCAGTACTTGACAGGATCGACCAGGCATGTGCCGATGCAAACGGAGAAGAAGTTATGGAGGATACGGCATCATCACAAGAACCAGGCGATCTACCCGAGCTTCGAGGTGACCAAGAACCTTCTCCCGAACTTGGCGATCCGCAAAAGCAGTCGAGTGGCAGATCGTCCTCTACTGTAGTCGAGTCCGTCGCTATCAAGCAGGAGCCCGGATATGACGATGAAGACTACGATGATGACGAAGACGACGACGCAACGATATTGCCCACAGTCCCGTTCAATCGGTCGAATGAAGAGAGGCCAATCAAGACCGAGACCAACGCGAGTAGTGAAGGAGAATTACCTTTACCCGAAGAGCAGCTCCGCTCCACCCCTCCAGTCATCGAAGACCTCAATCAAGAAACCTGTCCATCCACACCGATGGTCATCAACGACGATTCATCGGAAGAAGAAGACGATGCCCCACCACCGGACCCGACTCCTCCACGATCAAGCAAGGCACATACACCGCAGTCCACCTCGAAATCCATCCACCAGTCCGCAGATCTAAACAGCGAATCCATACAAGTCCCCCGTTCCCCATCCCCCGACCACGAAACCCAACAGTCCCACTCCAGCAAAGCCGAACAGCAACTCCACAACGAATGGTTCTCCTACTCCCAATACATAAACGCCCGAGCCCCCGAATCCTCAAGCATGCGCGCCGCCCCCGACGCATTCAGCTACAACGACACGCCGCGCCTCCCCCAACCCACAGCGCCCCATTCAAACCAAAACCACCAACCATCAGGCTACCACCCCTCTCAAGCCACAACCGTGGATGAGATCACACAGCGCACGCCCCGACGGAAGCGTACCCAGCTTTTCTCCAGCACGCATACTACGCCCCATCGTATTGCTAGTTCCCAGCCGAATATCTCGCCGGGGAAACCGCCGCCGCTGTTTATACCGAGTAGTTTCCCCAGTCCGGAGAAGGTCGCGGCCGAGGGGGAGGGGTGGAGTAGTCCTATGTTTGGGATGACGCAGGCGACGCATGCTGCTGGGGGGTGGAGGAGTAGTCAGTGGGCGAGTTTGGAGGATTTTAGTATTCCGCCGATGCCGCCGGGGATGGATGGGGATGATGAATAAAGAGATAACAGGTAAAATCTATTCATTTCTGAATCATGTCCTTGACATGATGCCATCTCTTAAAACACCATAGCCCCACCGTCCACAATGATATCCGTCCCATTAATATACCTCCCCGCATTACTACACAGCAGCACCAACGGCCCCGTAAGCTCCCACGGATGCCCCATCCTCCCCATCGGATTCCTATCATTCCAACTCTTCCTCGCCCTAATCAACCCATCCCCATCATTCAATATCGTGTCCATATACCCCGGGCTCAGACAATTAACCCTAATACCATAGCTACTCCACTCCGCCGCCAAACTCTTCGCCAGCGACAACAGCGCCGTCTTGGAAGAATTATACGCGCATTGCGGCTGTGGGTAGTTCGTGTGATGCGCGGATATACTCGCCGTAAACGTAACACTACCCCCCGTGCCTTGCGCACGGAACTGCTTCGCAACAGCTTGTGCGCAGAGGAATGAGCCGGTAAGATTGATATCGTGGGTGCGCCGCCATTCATCCGCCGCCATCTCAATCGCGTGTGTGCAGCCTACGACGCCGGCGAAACAGCAGAGCATGTCTATGCTGCCCAGTACCTTTACGCTGCTTTCGACGGCTGAAGCAATGGCTTTCTCGTCGCGTACGTCGACTGCTTCGGTTATTATGCGCGCGTGGGGGAACTTGGAGTGCAGTTTCTTGACGCTTTCGAAGGCTTGGTCCGGGTTCATGTCCCAGAGGGCGAGGCCCGTGGCACCGTGTTCGAGGAGGGCGGCTGCGGCTTCGAGGGCGAGGGTTCCGGCGCCGCCGGTGACTGTGGTGGTGGTGGTTAGTATGGTGGTTTAAGGTGGGTGGTGTGTGGATGGAGATGGGGATGGAGATGGGTGAGGTTACCCTAGAGGCGTTCACGTACTGATCGCATTGCCCTTGACCTGGAACCTATACTGCGCTCTTTCTCCGGTGGAGAGGTTCTCTGGTGGTGGTCTAGGTGCTGTGAGAGGGTTGTCGGCTGTTGACAGGGTCATCTCTGGGAGCTGTCGGTTGACGAGCGCGGCGCGGTCTTCTGCGTCTCCTGCCATTTTGATTGGATATTTCGCGACGATGGATTGAATGAGACTTGTGGCGTGTGATCTGGTGAATTGGGGCCTCGAAATGCCGCTTCGGCTCTCTTATGGACGCGTTCGGACGACAGAGGTCCGTTTGTTCGGGTTGTTGGTGGAGCGCGCCCAGCTCGAACATGACGTCGGAAAGGGTCCGCCCCACTGGGTTGCTTTCACCCCACCAGCTCATCAGGAAGGTGTGCCGAGCGCGGGGTTCACTGCGACGGCTCAACCTTCGTGACACAGTGTTGATGTGCGACCATCAAGACCTCATCAATGCGCCTCATCAACCCTTTCATACAATTACGGTATTCAGAGTCAGCCTCCAGAAGTCGCCATGTGCGCATCCGATCCGTTTTAATGATTTAATACAGCGCAAGATGTGGCGCGACTAACCACTACAGGGTGAATTTTTAATCAATATGGTCGCCCAGTACGGGCATTGGCTTTCACACAAGATCCATTCTGACCGCAGACAAATCCTACTTACCTCGAACATGTAACTAATCCAGCAAGACTTGCAACAAACGTCTTTCTCTACACCACGTCACTCAACCTAGGACCAGACCGCAGTCTAAGTCAAAGGCGCACTCTATTCTTTCAACCATGAAGTACTCATCGCAACCAACTCCGTCAACCCTCGAAAGAGACTTCGGACCGGAATGGTCCGACCGCCTTCGCACGACTATTCCCTCCAATTCTGAACTGATGATTGTCGAACAAGAAGCATGGAAGGATCAAGCTCATTGGAGGGACAACGACTCAGCTGCCCCAAGACCTGTTGACCCGTGGAGGCTGATGACTCCACCGGGGACGCCTCGGAAAGAATATAACGATCAAAGAGAAGACGTAGACGATGGCTTTGTACTTCAACACGAGTACGATGCCGCGAGTTGGGCGCTCGTCAAGTACGATCACAATTTCGAACCTTTCGAGAGAGTCAAAGCGCATCGATTGCGCTGCAATCTGGAAACGCAAAGCTTTGCGAAGAAGATCGTGTGGTATGTTTTTTTGGCTGTCCTGCTCCATGGTATTTGGACGCACTGGAACGAGTCGGAGGAGCGCGACAAGTGCGACTGTCATTGCCCGTACTGCACCGCAACCGTCGACTGACGTTTGGGCTTGCTGGAAGGGGTTGGACGAAGTGAGCCAATGTATACTAGAAAGACAGCTCGTCCTCTTCACGCATTTTTGTACGTGCTGGTAGTTTAGAAGACGAAGAAGTCGCAGCATTCGCGTAGAACAAGTTCTTTGATTCACCGCGATGATCCATATATACTGGCTTGAGAGCCACTCCGCCCATCACTGTGCAGCGTGCGATGCAGCTAAGATGCGGGGTCTCCACATCGTACCTTCCGCTAATGATAGCTTGATCTGCATCATGAAAACGTACAACTACTCAGCTGATCAAAGCTTTTTGATCATGAGCGGCAGGTCCGGGGTCTTTTCACACCTCCATTCGCGACCCTTTCAGACCACGTCCAATGGCAGATGAAGACGGTCTAGTGAGACGCGGTACCAAAAGAGCAAGAACGCGGCACGGGTCAGTACGGTCAGAAGCACACCACCTCAACCACGGAATGCTGACGTAGATCTTCCAGCTGCGTCAACTGCAAAGTAAAAAGACGTAAATGCGACGAAACCAAACCCACATGCGGTCGCTGCAGCAGCAAGAACGAAAAATGCACCTGGGCTTCTCGCCTCACCTTCCGGGCCGAGAATGCTCTAGGTGTCGGGCCATCATCGCTGCATCGCTTGCCAGGACGACCGCCTGCACGCTTCAAGATCAAAGATGTGACGGAGGAGGTTATACGCGACTATCAGCATTACGATACAGTGGTGGATGATGTTGGCGTAGCAGATCGATTTGATGATCGGCAGACTCCGCCTTCTACTTCCAACACCATATCGCCAGCGACAGCCGACAACGAGCAGGTACCATCACATCATGCCCCTCCGTATTGGCAGCCGAGCACGGCTTTCTCGGCTGCAGAAGATACTATAAACCCTCTCCAAGAGTCCCAGTATATTCCTTTACCCGCTCCAGGAGACATCGAATCTATCTGGCACAGTCCTGGCACGACTACGTATCTAGACGACAGCGTGTTTCTACCAGGCTCAGCGTATCTCGATGCGCATTCCACGTTTCGGAGTCATTTGATACAGGAAGTGAGATCTAATGTGCCGACTCGAGAAGTTACACCGGATGCTGCGCGTGTTGGACTGGGCTGGGGAGAGTCGCAGGCCAATTACGCTTCAGATGCAGCGAGGCATGTCACGGAAACCTCTCTTGATGCCACACCCATCAATGAGCCAGATACGACGAACATCCCGCCACCCCAGCTGTCCGCGGAGGAAGAGTTTGATCTATGGAAGAACTGGCTCGATGAAGTAGCCCCCTGGATCGATAAATTCGACCCGGAGCGCCACTTCCAACGCACACTACCCATCATGGCACGCTCACACGATCACTTGCGGTATTCCATGCTCGCGCTCTCGGCACGGCAGATAGAGCGGAAGAATAACAGTAAACATACCTCACGAAGTCTAGCTCTCTATCAAACCGCCATTCAACTCGTACTACCACAACTACACACGCGCAGCACGCCCGTGATAGCATCGTGCGTTGTGCTATGTGTACTCGAGATGCTGAGTAGTTCGGCGAAAGCGTGGCATCAGCATCTAGATGGATGTGCGCATTTGCTTGAAGCTGTGGGGATTAATGGGTTCAGCGGCGGTGTGGATCAAGCGCTATTCTGGTGCTTTGCGCGCATGGACGTCTGCGGCGGACTCATCGCGTCGTCTAAAACGCTTATACCGGTGGAGCACTGGCCTACATCAGGAATGGGTCTCGATGCCGACGTGGACCGCTTCCGCTCCGTTGGCGACTACAACGTCTACGCGTGCGAAGCCGTGTATCTCATTGCTCAAATCCTCGACCTGCTGTCTTTCCATTCCAACCTAGCCGGTCGCGTGGGCGCTACACCACGCTCACCCACAGACACAGATGCCGCGTACTCCGCACGCTGGACTCAACTCTGGCACCACATCTCAACATGGTACACCACGCGCCCCGCAGAAATGCTCCCAATCTCCTCCTTCACACCACCTACCTCCCCCTTCCCGCGTCTCCTCTACAGCAACCCCGCCGCCATGTCCGGCAACCAACTCCACCACACCGCCTGCATCTTGATGCTCCGCCACAAACCTCCCAACACCACCGTTACACCTAAACCCAACTCGATCTTCTGGCACGCGAGACAGATCTGTGGGATCTCGATTAGCAATGATGATCATGCTGCTTGGACGAATGCGATTCAGCCGCTGTGGATTGCGGGCCAGTGGATGAGCCATGAGAGTGAGCAGAAGGCTATTTTGCAGCTGCTGGAGAAGATTGAGAGACTTTCGGGGTGGAGTACGAAGTGGAGGGCGGAGGATTTGAGGGAGTTTTGGGGGTAGTGAGGGAGGTGGTGGTGTGAGGCTGGGGTTCAGCCTGGTCTTCTACGGTATGTGTGGTGGCGGTGTTACGCGGAGCCTTGGGCTGTTTGCCGCTGGAGGCGCATTTGATGTCCTCCATACATAGGGCTCCCAATGAGGTCCGGCGTACTTGGATGCAAAGCTCAGCTTTCGAAACTCAGTGTCCAGTCCTGAAAGCCTCTCGTGTTCACGGGCTTGGCGGCATCTTCTGGCCCCCCCTGTTCAGCCTCGTAGCCTGGTCTATCATGTTAAAAGCTTTGCTGTTGCCAGATGTTGCGATGGCCTAATCTATATCGGCATAGCCTTGCTGTAATTCAAATTGGCCGACATGGGCAACAGTTTCGGTTTCCTCAGAGGCGAAAGTGGAAGCGGATTTCAATTCAACGTGGTGGAGGCTTGCAAGGCTGAGGATGTCGATCTCGCTCAGGCTTGTAGCCTAACGTTTGGTGCGGATCAAGACCTGGTCTCGATTGGCAATGTTACGAGGGGAAGAATGGTGCCGCAGCCTGGTATCGCTGGAATTGGAGTAAGTCATGGTGGCAGATCGCAGACATTGTACGCAAGCTAACGTCGCTAGATCTGGATCGCGATGGTACTGTTCTTCGTTGTTGTCGCGATGTCTCTCGTCTTTGTCTTTATCGAGATCTGGTCCAGAGCAGATGTCTCGTGAGTAGCTCGAAGCGATTGCTTGACAAAGCTAACCGTCAACGCAAATAGTCAATTCAGCAGCGCCTTCGCGAGCTTGAGAGATAAGCCCAAAAACAAGACCCCCGGAAATCCAAACGCGGATCCGACATGGAAAGACAGAGTGCGCGCAGCTGGCCGAACGTTCGTTTTGGGTGTTGCAGACACCCAAACCATCTTTGTTGGAGCTTTCCTTCTCGGCTTTGCTGGCCGAAGCAAGTGTAAGCTGACAAGTTACCACTTTACAGTCGCCGTCAGTCAGATGATGATCGCGCTGTCTGTTCTCACCTTCTCCATCGCGCTGGTACGGACGTACTGGCGTAATCCACTTGCAGCCGCTTTTCGATTAATTCTCTCGGTTGGGGCCTTTATCGGTGTCGGATTGACCATCTTCAGGGAAGCCAACTATGCTCCGTATGACGCGCTCAAGCACTCGAGCCAGGACAGCGCCATCCTCCTCCCAGTAGCATGTATGCTGGAAATGGACCTTCGATCAGCAGCAGAAGAGCAAGCGCGTCAGAACCAAGCCAATCTCGGTTTCGGAAACGCAACAGCCTGGCCACCAGAAAGATTCATGTACATCGTCCTCGGCGTCGCTTTCCTCGCCGCCCACATCTCAGTCCCCATCCGCTTCGCCGAATCCAGAGACCGCGCACCGAAAGTCTGGACAGAGAAGCGTGCATTCGTCACATTGATCTACTGGATATTGGTGTTGCTCACACCAATCGTAACGTCGATGTTCTGCTGGTTCCGCGTTTACACAATGCGCGAGTGGGTAGCTGGTTCTGGGTGGATGGAGGATCCGAACACGGAGATGATAGTGTGGGATTCGGGACAGTTGATTGCTATGGGTGTGCTTATTACGGTTATCATGAATGTTCTTACTGAGGCGAAGGAAAGGGAGAAGAAAGACGCGAAGAAGAGGAATGACGGAATGGATGGAGAGGCGGGAGTGGAGTTGCTGCCGACTGCGTATCGTGGGTATGAGTATTAGGGTGACTGATAAATCGTCTCACGCGTGTAGACCATGGTAGAGTATCGCAAGCAAATTGTAGCCGGAAATTGTGACTAGACGACCGATGATGAAGCTCTCTCAGCATCGTGTCGGGGTTTGCGCGTTGTTAGCAGTAAGTCTCGTTTGCGCATGAATTGTGACATTGTGTTGGTGACGGTGAAGAGTGGGCGCGTCGCGATTTCAAAGCGCGATGACGGCACCAGAGTGCACGGACTCTCGGAGGTTGCGGCGATGTCGACCACTGTATGGTTGTCTCCATTACCACGACCATCGCCGCCCGAGACACGCAGAACCCGGTCGAAGGCCTTACGTAGCTTGCGCCTTCTATATACGAATCACGACACCGAGTGCACCTCTTTTCCCACGGATGGGCACACCACCACATCGCCCCCAACTGATCGCTGCCTTGGCGGGTGCCGTGTGCTTTCACTATTACCGTTATACAGCGACATATTCACACCTAATCTAATACTTCCCCTGCAGACCGACCGACCACCGACAACGTCAGAACCTATCTACACATATTTACCCTACACATACACCGATTCGACGTCTCGCACTGGCCTCTTCAACGCCCCGCCACCATGTTCACGAGCTTCACAGGCAACACGCGAAAGGCGCGCCAAGTCAACCTCGGCGGCAAGAAGACGAATCCCTTCGGCCCTCCCGGCTCCGGCGCCGGGTCACAAGCCGCCCTCGACCGCGCACAGCAAGAGCGAGCGCAACGGCAGCGGGAACGAGACACGCTCAATGCGGCCAAGCGGATACAGAAAGTATGGCGGGGTCACTCTGCCAGGAGAGATGTGGCTGACGAGCTGCGGGGCGCATGGGACCGGGTAGAAGAGGCGAATGGCTCTTCGAGGACGGCGACATATGACTCGGAGGAGGAGGCTCTTGCCCAACTACAACGGCTGCTTCGATTCGCATCCTCACGGAGCGATGACGATCTACGACGGATACAGCACTACGCGTCGCGCCAGATGGAGACAGTCAAGAAGTTGGGCATCACATCAAGCGGGCCGTGGCCGTGGGCATATCTAAGGCTGGAGCGCACCCTACTCGTGGCCATAGAGCGGCAGCTTCAGAAGCACGCGCCGATGCAATGGAATCAGGTTGGGGCCTCTCTCAGCGTCTTACAGTTCCTCGCAGACCAGATACCCGCCGAAACGTCCCAAAATGCCGAGCATTACTACCGCACTCTTGCACGCGTCGTGTCCACCTTCACCCCAACACTTGAAACGCAGAGCGAAGGATCGGAAATAAGTGACACCATAGTCAGGGCAGCCCTCTCGCCGATGACGCGGGTGACTGGCTACACACTGGACGCTTATGAGGCTTTCGGTATACACTTCTTGACTCTCCCACTATTAGGCTCGGACTCAACGTCACCACCATTACAAAAGTTCCGCGACTCGCTCGCCGACGCCATCAACTACAAGCTGCTCGCAAATGCACTGGCGACACTTTCCAAGAGAGCAGGGCTGCAAAGCAAATCCGAGCTGAAGAACACATCAAGTAGACTGCGTTTACTAGGAAACTTTATTTATTTCCACCGCTACGCCCACAACTTCGACACTCCCGAAGCCTACGCGGTTCACAAGGACTTTGTAGCCGTCGTATCGGTTCTGTTGAACTCCCTGCCAATCAACATTGTAGATGACGATCATCCAATTGCCGAGCTTTCCGAAGACGACGGTGCCGATCAAGACGCCAGCGCCGTGTCAAATTTCTTGAAAGAGCAAGTCCGCTCCCTGGTACATCAGGAAGGTATTGGAAGTCTTTTGGCCGGATCATCACAGTCAGCGGAAGCTTCAGATGACGAGAAGGTCGAAGAAGCCCGGCAGCTTGCAAACTACGCGCTTGCATTACTTCGCTTCTTCCCTCGTCGCGGTGATGAGATACGAATGTGGCTCTACATCGGCCCATCAGAGGCGTCTGGAAAGAGTGCAAGGAAGCTTCCGGCGATCAAATACTTCTGGGAAGCATCAAAACGATCATCGGTCTTTACCACCATCTTCAGGGACTCGAGGGCAGCTATCGGACTCTTGAAGCCGAAATCTTCAAATCTGAACAACTCTGACCGCCCAGGGACGTCCGGACTGACGCAGCATGGCTTTTGGCAGCCAGCACAACAGCAAGTTGATCGTGACGCAGTCACTACCGACGAATGGCGGGTCATTCTGGTATTCCTCGAACTATATACCTTTGTACTCAAAGTCACCGACGACGAGGAGTTCTTCACCTCGGGGCAAAAAGATATCTACTCGGGCCAGATCCGCGACAGTGGCTTACCTCTAGGCGAGGTGAAGGATTTGACGACTTTCCTAAAGAATTTGGGCTTCACACTTTACTTCAACGCAGTAGACATTACAACCTCGGAAGAGGATATGGGAGGCAACAACAGAAGTCTTAGCTACTTCAACCCTGGGGTTATGGACAACCAAGCCCAGAAAGAGCATGCTGAGCCATCAATAGGTGGTGTCGCAGGCTTGAGGATAGACTACGTGAAAGGGCTGGTTACTGGACTACTTCGTATGGTATACGAACGCGACTCGCGACGCAAGTTCCTGCCTTCGGACCACTGGCTCATGGTCTCGCGCTTTGACATGACAGGGTTTATTCCGGCTGTAGTCGAGGAGGAAGAGTCGCGGCACAAGATCCAGGAGGAAGATGCGGAGGATCTTGACGACCTTGAAGAAGAGGAATTCGACGACACGCCACAACTCATTGGCACAAGTCGCACACAAACACAACGACGCTTGGAGAAGCTACAACGGCAGCAGCGCAAGGCTTCGCGGAGACGGTATCTCCAAGCCGTAGCACCTCGTCTCGAGATCCTGCAGAACATGCCGTTCTTCATACCCTTCACCACTCGTGTTCAGATCTTTCGCGAGTTTGTTAAACTGGATATGATCAAGCGACGAGGATCTGCGGATCCTGAGTTCTGGCGGTTTCGGACTATGCAGCAGCCAAACGCTCGCAGCCAACTCGAGAAACATACGGCACGGATCAGGAGAGAGAACGAGTTCGACGATGCTTTCGAGCAATTCTATGAACTAGGTCAGGGCTTGAAGGAACCAATTCAAATCACCTTTATGGATCAGTTTGGCGCGCCCGAAGCCGGTATTGATGGTGGTGGTGTTACGAAGGAGTTCCTCACCAGCGTCACCAGCCGGGCGTTTATGCCAACTGAGTACATCGACATGTTTGTTGAGAACGACCAACATCTTCTATATCCCAACCCCGCAGCAGTCGAAGAGCACAAAGAGGCACTGCGGCAAGCCGGCATACGCGAGGGTTCTCAAGAGTACCGTGCTCAAATCACTGAGCTGCTTCAACGCTACGAGTTCTTGGGACGCATCATTGGCAAATGTTTGTACGAAGGTATCCTGGTCGACGTCAACTTTGCACCGTTCTTCCTGCGCAAGTGGGCTCTGACAGGTGGCACCGGCTCCGCACCCAACGAATCTGGCTACCGCCCTACCCTCAACGACCTCCGCGATCTAGATGAGGAGCTGTACCAAGGTCTGCACAAGCTCAAGACCTACCCTGGCGACGTCGAAGACTTCTCCCTCAACTTCACCGTCACCGACACCGTCATCGTAGACCACACGACCTCGCCCAAAAAGACCAAAGCCATCACCAAGGACCTGAAGCCCGACGGCTCCAACACCCCCGTCACCAACCAAAACCGCCTCGTCTACATCAGCTACATGGCGCGCCACCGCCTGCAAAACCAACCCTACGCCCAAACCACCGCCTTCCTCCGCGGCCTCAGCACCATGATCCAACCCTCCTGGCTCTCCATGTTCAACCAATCCGAACTCCAGACCCTCATCTCCGGTACCCGCACATCCATCGACATTGAAGACCTGCGCCGCAACACCATCTACGGCGGCACGTATGTCATCGGCGACGACGGGCTTGAGCACCCAACCATCCAACTCTTCTGGAAGGTCATGAAGGAGATGACCGATGATGAGCGCCGTGCGGTGCTGAAGTTTGTGACTAGCACGCCGCGCGCCCCGCTGCTGGGCTTCGGTACGCTGAATCCGAGGTTCAGTATTAGGGATGCGGGGAGGGATCAGGATAGGTTGCCTAGTACGAGCACGTGTGTTAACTTGCTTAAGTTGCCGATGTATGAGGATGAGACGACGCTGAAGGAGAAGTTGCTGTATAGCGTTTTCTCCGGGGCTGGGTTTGATCTGAGTTAGGGGGTTGGGGTGGCGCGTGGCTAAGGTTGTGGAAGTTGATAGATTTGCATAGCATGGTATTAGGAGAGCGATTATGGAATAAAATCGCATGATGCGTGTATATCATTCGACTACAATTTGACCGCCCGTGAACGAGTGAACGAGTGAAGGTTGGTGAGCGCGTTCTGATGCGAAACTCGAATGTGAATGCGATTGTGACGTTCGCCAAGTGAGAGACAATGGTAGGTTAAACATGTCCATGTCGAAGGCGGTTAAGGGTCCACCACGTACCATGGAAAGCAGGTGAAGTGACAATTCACCTCGCTCTACGCACCCTCGCAGCAATAAAAGCAGCGATCACATTTCCGCAAATCGTCTTCCACACTTCAACCTCGCAACACTGCTCTCCAAAACCTCACCGTCTACAGCACTCAAACCCAACCCAAACACCCTACAACACCTTCTAAAACACAATGGACAGCAACGGCCCCGGCTCACCGCGAGCAATCGCAAACTTCATCATCACCAAGCTCACCAACGCCACGATTTACGTCCAGGATCTTATCGAGGCGCGGGCTGAAGCGGAGCGCCGTCGCGTGCAGGAAGAGAACGACGCGATATCGAGGGAGGCGCGCAGGCGCGTTATGGAGTATGGGGATGCGGATGAGTCGTTGATGGGGGATCGGGAGGCGGAGGAGGGGAGGAGGAGGCCGCAGGAATGATTGTGGGGGTGGAGAGAGGGAGGGAGGGATGGGGAGGGGGGGCTATGCGTGTTGATGGGGCGTGGATCTGGGTTGGTGGTGAATGGTCGTTGAGTGGAGTAGAATCGGTTATGGTCGCGAACATCTTGTGTCCACGTGGATATATTCACGAAAGTCATGGAAGGCTAAGGCTCGGCTACACGGGATAATATCAAGGATCGACTTTAAAGTTACATAAGTACTAACTATGCCGTGATGCGCAGCAGTCCCATATCCACATCATGTCCCTATACATTGCCAGAGCAACTCATTGCCCACTCAAACAACGATCATTCCCATACTAATGGTAATACCCCATGCATCCTGCGCGTCCACATCTAACCGCGTCGCTCACGCACCTCATCTTCAAACCCCACCCAAGACATCTAACGTGCAAATCCCCATGCCCGCCCGACAGGTCACAGAACATTCCTAAGGACGCGTCGCAATCGAGTACCGAGCAGCAATTGCAGAACTATACAAATAGCAAGGCCGAGGAAAAAAGCCCTGTACAGACCCATAATCAAATCCATAGCGGCGATGTCACCGCCTAGACCGAGGAGCGCTTGGTGTGATGCTGTTATGGCCATGCAGCCGTAGATTATTGCGATTGCTTGGGAGAAGGTAAGACAGGTGCGATTGTGTGCACGAGTAGGCGGTTGGGCGATTGTTGTTGTGATGGTGCTGAAGGAGAGGTGGATGGTAAGGGGCGTGATATTGAGATTCTGGGGTGTTGGCTGGGGAGGTACGTCGATAGCAGTGATGATGGGCGAGAACGAGAGGTCCGTTCGATCGCTAGCTGGAGATGGGTACTTTTGACGGTTCGGCGTCTTTATAGAAAGCGCTTCGACCGGTTGCCGTGATGTCGAGAAGACCCGGACACGTCGATCCGGACGTTTTGGCAAAGCCATGTCTGCATCAGGTGAATCGAAGAGCGCATTCGTACTGCGGCGCGGAATATCGACGTCGAAATAGCTTTCGCGCGCCTCGTGTTCATCCCTCCCACGCTGCGAACCATCAAAGAGCAGCTTCGCATGCCCAGTCTCCCCACTTCTCGCCTCTCTCGCCTTCACACGCGCAAGAACATCCCGTACCCTAGCCGGATCCACATACCCAAACTCCTCTTCTTCATCATCCGATGCCACCGACGGCGTTTTCGGAGACACGTACCCTCCACGACGCGCATCAAAGCCCCTCCCAGCCCACTTCGACTTCCCATTCGAACTACTTCGCCGCGCAAGATCCCTAGCCAGCTCTACCCTACCCTTCTCAAACTGCTCCCTTAACGCATCTTCAGCAGGCTCTATCTTACTCCCAGCCGGTTCCCTCGCCGACGGCGAAAACCTCCCCGGCATATCCTCCTCAACCCCAAGCGTCGTTATGCCACTAGGCGTACAAATCAAACCCTCAGCATTATCCAAGCTAACCCTACTCTTCTCGATAGGTGGTTCAGGAAGACCCGCTTCCGCCCACTCGCCAGTAGGGGTACGCGACGATCGCTTTCGTATGCTTGAACTTGAGGTAGAAGGAGGGCGGGCGCGACGTGCGTTGTGTTGGATAGAAATAGGTGTGCGACCGAAGAGTTGGGCGCGATCGAGATAGCCTGAATGCGTGGATGTTGATTGATGGAGGTTGGCTCGCCTGGAGTCTGAGAGGGGGTATGGTGATAGTGATGGTGACGAGGATGTGCTCATGTCGGTGTACCTACCCCTATCTAGTACAGGATCATACGACCGCCGCGAGTATTCTGGTAGTGAAGAACCTGAACCCGGTGACGCGTACTGATCGACGACGTCGGTGATGTTCCGCGATGCTGAAGGTGTAGTCCGGTTATTACGGGAGTTGGCCATGTTGTAATTCCAAGGTCGAATAGAAGTAGGGGGCTGGAGACGTAGAAACGACCGTGAAGAAGTTGAGTTGGCTGCAGTGATTGCCAAAGCTCGAAGGTACATGGTGGGTTGTCCTTGTTTCGCGGCCTCTAAGAGTACGTGTAGAGAGGACTGGGCTCGGAACGCGCCACTGCTCATTTGACTATCGCCAGGTGAAAGCTCGTCTTCACAATGGCGACATGAGTGAATACATCGCAATCGCGATTACCTGGTTGAATTCACGAAGGTTGAAGCGTAAGACCTCCAAGAGTGTACCAGGCAGCTTCATCTGGCTTGCAAGCTGCTTGTGTTGATGTGTCTATTCTCATTCCTCGTTGCTGTTTTCATCAATCTACTTCTTTCTTACCATCATCTCCACAAACAACTTTCCCATAATCCATGGCGCGACGTGATCAATAGCTCGCTCTATTCGCTAAGCTAAAGTATTCCTATTATTGTACATGACCAATGAAGCGAAGCCCTCCAACGAGAGGGAAGAGGTCGAACGAACGCCATTCACCTCGTAAGTAACGTGCTTTTATGCACATCCATCATTCCCATCCCGCCAACTACGCAGGTATGGGCGCGGGAGGTTCTGGGCCGTCACCACCATCACCCCTTGGTCTTATCGCCGTGGGGAGTGGGTTGTCTGGGATTTTGATGGGCGCGTCAGGCAAGGCCTTCAGCCGGCCAGGAAGGTCCTCGCCCTTGATGACCTTCATGATCTCCTTCTTGTCCAGCGTCTCATACTGCACAAGCGCATCGGCTAATCTGTCGAGCTCCTTACGCTTCGACAGCAGCAGCTCCTTGGCATCCTTTCTTGCCTCATCGATCAGCTTTCGCACTTCGTCGTCGATGATTCGTTTGGTCTCCGGTGCGACCATCTCGTAATTAGATTTGTAGTCGACGTTGCCGAGCTTCTCTGAGAAACCGCACTGAGTGACCATCATGTACGCTATCCTCGTTGCGTTGGAAATGTCGCTGGATGCTCCGGTGGAAACGTTCTCCTCACCATACACAAGCTCTTCGGCAATCTTGCCGCCCAGAGAGACCTGCAGTTGGCGTATGTATTGTTTGCGAGTGTGGTGGCCCTCTTCTTCCGGAAGGAAGAAGGTAATACCGGCAGCGTGACCTCTGGGAAGAATAGTCGCCTTGTGCAGATCGTTGAAGCCAGGCTTGTAGAGACCGACGAGCGCATGGCCACCCTCATGGTAAGCGGTGTGAATCTTGTCCTTGAGCGGAACGGAGCGGCTCTTCCTTTCGGCACCCATACTAATCTTGTCCTTGGCCCACTCCAGGTCGTCGAGAGAGACGAACTTTGCCTGAATCTTGGAAGCACGGATAGCAGCCGAGTTGGCGACATTCTCTAGCTCGGCGCCAGAGAATCCGGGGGTGCCACGGGCAATGGTGGAAAGGTCGATGTCGGGAGAGAGGCGGATCTTCTGAGTGTGGTACTTGAGGATAGCCAGTCGGCCACCCACATCGGGGAGTTCGACCTGAACATGACGATCGAAGCGTCCGGGACGGAGCAGGGCCTCGTCGAGAGACTCGGGGTGGTTGGTGGCAGCAATGAAGATGACACCACTGCTTTGGTCGAAACCGTCGAGATCGTTGAGAAGCTGGTTGAGGGTCTGGCGGTGGTAGCTGGCGTCGCGCGACCTACGCTTTCCGCCTATGGCATCAAGTTCGTCGATGAAGACAATGGCAGGCGCTTTGCCTCGAGCAGCAGTGAAGAGTTCGCGCACACGCTTGGCTCCGACACCAACGTAGACTTCGTCGAATTCAGAACCGGACATGTAGAAGAAGGGAACGCCGGCCTCTCCTGCGCAAGCACGAGCGAGCAGAGTTTTACCAGTACCAGGAGGGCCAACTAGGAGTACACCCTTGGGGAGTCTGCCGCCGAGCTTGTTGTACTTGTCGGGGTTCTTGAGAAAGTCGACGACATCGGTGAGTTCTTCCTTGGCCTCGTCGCAGCCGTGGACATCGCTGAAGCGGGTGTTCTGCTGCTCGGGACGGACTTCGGCGTTCTCTTTACCGCCAACGCCCTTCTTGAGGACGCCGCTGGTCTCGACGAAGAGAGTGATGAGGATCAGGGAGACGTAGGCAGCCAGAGCGAAACCGCAGATCCAGCGGACCCACTTAAAGATGACGTTCATCAGAGACTCTTCAACGACGACGTAGACGGGGTCAGCCTTGACGCCAGCGCCGCCCCTGGTCTTGGCAACCTGAGCACCGCCAGCGTTTGCGCCGATGGCCTGGGTAATCGCCTGACGTTGGTTCGCAGTGAGCCCCGAGTGTTCGCCGCCGTCCTGTCCCGTCGTTGCCAAGGCGTTGTTGTACATCTTGTCAATTGTAGAGTTGGTGGCGAAGCGGCCTGTGTTGTACCGGTCGATGATGATCTGGTGGTAGTTGCCGCGCAGCAGAGCCGAGTAGAAGGAAGCCTGGGCGGAGGCGCTCGTAGGGCTGGCGTTAGCAGCCTGTTCGAGGCGAGCGAGTTGTTCCTGAGAGGGGCCACCGAAGAGCGAGCGCTGTTGTACGAGGCTGAGGCCGAGCATGCCGGGCTTGGTCAGCTGGCGGAGGTGCGAGAGAGGGCCGTTGCGCGACATGGAAGAGAACTGGCGGGCCCTGAGGGCAGCGACGGGCGATGTCAGGGCGAGGGGATTGCATAGTCCGACGCGCGGTACTGCTGAGTGTCAGTGTTGTGTCCCAACTGTGCCTCACTGCGACTAACCTGAACATGAGGAAGAAGATGCGGTGGTGAGCTGCCTGACGCCGGCAGCCGTGGGCATGCGGCCCAGGGCGTGCCACGGGGAGCGCAGGACGGTAGACATGGTGGGCGACAGTTGCGACGTGACAGAAGCGACCTTCTTTATCCAAGTCAGTAGGGGTTCAATGACGCGATGTCGGAACTCGTGGCAAAACGCACCTGGGCAGCGCCGGCCGCGTGGAGGGCCATGGTGAAGAATGCGCAGCGCAGAGGCCGCAAAGACTATGTCTAGTACCCGATGAAAGAAAAGGAATAGGCGCGCGTGGGCGGTGGATTGGGCGTGGCGGCGAGAGGCCACGGAAAGCTAGTCGTCACGTCTATGGAAAGTGGCAGAATGGGCCAGTGCTGAGATGCATCTGAGTTCCGAGACCCTTGCATATGTCGTGTCTTGGCGATACGGCGGAACTCGACCCTGCGCCACCATCTGGGCTATGTTTACCGCCACGGCTCATCACATAATTGTCTTGTGGGATATTATGCACTCATGTTGTCGCGTCTATTCACGTGCAGCATGCTACAGCGACGTGTAATGTCTTGACGCGCGCCTGGGCTCAGGGCGATTGGCCGATGACGTAGATGAAGCAGGTGCAACCGATCAATCTTGACTGTCCGATTGACTGAGAAGTTTACATCTGAGGTCACGCATACGATACTCAGGGTCGTTTAGGTCCATGTTGGAGAAGACATAGTTCCCAGAGTCGCGGCGCACCTCGGCTGGCGGGGTAAAGAGCCTCATGGCTTGTCGCATTGCTTGTCCAGATCATATACATTGTCCCGCCTACAATACCACCGAATCGGAACAATGGCATCACCAAGATGGAAGAAGCTGTACGAATACGCAGCATGTGATGTACGCTTACCGTCTCCACGCCTAGACGTGCAGCTAACCTCTCATAGCTCGCTGATGGTCTACTGAAGCTACACGTACCAGGCGCGGGTTTCCTCGCTGATATCAGTACGATGAATTGAAGACATTATGTCACATCACTTGTTAACCTTGCCAGGACCGCTGCTTCATACATCCAGCATTCCCAAGCCTGAGCTTAAGAAGGTCCTCGCGCCCGCATCTACCTTCCTTATGATTCCGAAAGCGACCAAGTCGTTCCCGAGCCCTCCCAAAATGGCGGATAGCATTCCGGCTACCAACCTTACCGACTCCAGACCGTACGCAGACTACACCGAGAGCGGTACCATTGTAGTCATCAGCCAGCCTCCAGGGCAGTCGTGCGCAGTCGTCGGAGGGATCATGGCGGCTCGCATGCAGCATCTCGGCGCAGAGGGTATTGTGGTGGACGGTCGCGTGCGGGACATTACTGCGCTGAATCAGACGCAGCTGCCCATCTGGTCCAAAGCGACGTCTGTCATCGGCGCAGGCGCCGAGACCAAGTTCCATGCACACAACGTGCCCGTGAGAATCGGCGAGACGGTGGTCGAAGCCGGCGACATCATCATGATCGATCCCTTCGAGAATGGCGTGGTCGCGGTGCCACGGGGCAAGGTAGACGAATTGCTCGACCTACTCCCGAAGCTGATCGAGGCGGACGAGAGGGTGATTGCGGACGTGGGCAGCGGAGTGAGCGTGGAAGAGGCGTTCAAGAGACATAGAAACTAGACCTGTCTCTTGTAGAATCGAAAACCATATTGTTGAAGGAAGACACGGCGGATGTGATCGCAAAGTGAAGAGACCACTGAGAGCCCTCAGAATTACATGACGCCGCTAACCAATTCGCTGGCCCGTGCACCGCCCATTTTCGCGATCCCGGCATGACACCTCTCGCAGCTCTCGTTCCCCATCGCCCAACACCTCCGCCACCACCCGCACCCACACTCGAGGACCCCCAATTGCCCCGGAGCCACCACAATGGGTATCACGGACTTCTTCTCCGACGTCTGGGAGACCTTCTCCCACCCCTCGGCCGACGCCGAGGGCCAACCGCCCGTCCAAGGTGGCACCAGCACCCAGACGCCCGCCTCCGGCACCGACGAGGAGAGCGGCGACGAGGCCGAGGTCAACAAGCAGGATGCGAAGAAGGGCGGCGACTCGGGCGAGCAGGGACACAAGCCGAGCGGCGATGACGAGGATGAGCCTGAGGAGGAGGAAGAGGACGAGGAGGAGCCCGACCCAAAGGAGAAGCTTGAGCAGGGTGAGTTATCCCGGAGTACGAATATGGCAATCCAGCGGCTGCAGAGATCAATTGCGTGTCTGGAAGGCTTCGGCTTTGGTCGGACGTGTCGATAAGAAGCCCACCGTATCCGACAAAGCCCGATACCACACACACAGCGCCACCGCAGACGGAACAGTGACTAACCATCTCACCCAGAATGCGCCGAGTCCAAGGAATGCCACGGCCCCAAGCACCACTACGACGAGTGCGCCCAACGGGTAACAGGCCAGATCGAGAACGACGGCAAGGCCAGCGAGGACTGCGTTGAAGAATGTACGTCAACCCACCTCTCACATCAACAACAACATCTAACACAACCCCAGTTTTCCACCTTGCCCACTGCGCGTCCCAATGCGCCGCCCCCAAGCTCTTCGCCCAGCTCAAGTAAACAGACCCGACCCCCGCCGATCCTCGTCCTCCTACGAGCGAAGACCAATACAATGTTGGTACATGACATGTAGTAGGAACGTAGCCGTTTTCGGAATGGAATGAATGCAAGCATCAAGACATGTCAAATGCGTGGATGACTGTACATATTAGAGTCGTGTTTAGAATATCACTGTACTTCTATCTCCCGATCCAAATCAAGACATTGCACAAACAATATCATGAATGACGCAAAGCATCGTCCTGATCGATAATACGCGGACATGAACCCCGTTTACAATAATAATGAAAAAGACGAACCAAGGAAACCAGTTCCCCTCCCAAGATAAACCCGAAAAGACAAGGTAAAGGACACCTAGCCTACAAAGAAACCCTAGTCGTCGTCATCATCATCATCCTCGTAATCGTCACCAGAATCCATGTCCCCAAGGAGTCATTGCTCGTGTCCCTGCACGCCCTCGCCAGACCCCTCTTCAGCGACAACAACGCTATCGCCATCGACATCCTTCTTCAGCCTGCCCTCTCTGCTAGCGAGGCCCAGTCGCTTCACACCCAACATAAGCGGCAGTGGCAAGACCACCGCACAAACGACAGCCTGGAAGACCAGCGCCCAAAGCATATGTCCAGGCGGTCTGTTCCCACCTGTAGCCTCATCCCTGCCCGCGTCCTGTACGGCGTCCAGATCCACGGGTCTTCCGTCTTTGAGCTCGTTCATGATTACAATGAAGATGCCGCCGAATACTTGTCCCCCAACCCAGCATATCGTTGAAGACACCTCTGGACTAGCTGGGAAGGTGATCTCGACTAGGTATTCCAGCGCGATCGGAAGTAGAGAGAACGAACATGCGCCTAAGACTGCACCGAGCACATACGGCGCGACGATCGTCCTCGTCTGCGGCGCCCATATCATCGCTAGATAAGCTGCGGATAGCACGGGACAGAGGATCTTGATGCCGAGCAGGTACGCGTGTGTGCGGTCTATGATGGGAGAAGTGATTGCGCAAGCTACCAGTCCGACAACGATGAGTACCGCGCCGCAGATACCTGCTTCGTCTTCGGTGTAGCCGTATGGATACAAAATTTGGTTTAGCAGCGAGGTGAAGGCGTTGAAGAAGCCCGTGTAGACGCTGAATGTGAAGAAGACGAGGTAGAAGGCGGGGGTGCGTAGCATGTGCTTCAGGGAGGTCATGATTGACGTTTTGGAGATGACAGAGGAAGCCGAGGGGGGTGTTGGTGGTGCCGCTGGGATGAAGAAGGACTGTGGGGTGTTATTCATATATGTTGTGGAGGTGTGGGAAGACGTACCGGGAGGCATGCTACGGTTGCGATGATTGATACTATCAACACCGTAGTCGGTACATCGCCCAAGAAAGGGTTAATAAGAGATGCAAGCTATGTCTTGTTAGCCGTCGTTTCCTCTTCTTCCCGCGTCGGTACTTACCGCCGCTCCAAAGGGATTCGCCAAACTCGCCACCGCCGTTGCTCCAATCCTTCCTCCCTCAGTAAACCACATATCACTATACCGCGTCGGCGCCGCCAGCACAAACGGCTGCGCCAAGCCCGTCAAGATCTGGCCCACCATGACTACGGGGAAGATGTTGGTCTTGGTACCCGCATACCGGATCCAGTTGCCGATCAGTAGCAAGATGGATGCGGCGATGATGGATGGTTTGGGACCGCGATGGAGTAGGTAAATAGTCAACGGACATGTTGCGGCGAAGGAGAAGAGAAAGGCGGTTGAGAGCCAATTGATGGAAGATTCCGGGACGTGGAAGTATTGCGATGAGGTTGTTGAAATGGGGGCGAATGTCAGCCACTAAATTATGTGTTAGTTACAGTCGTGCTTCCCAGTTTCTTGGTGCTCAAGAATGAAGTTCATGCGACGTTGTCCCAACACCACTGATCGACAACGCAGGGCAATGCTCAAAGTCCGGAACGGAAGACCCCTTCGCAACACCCGCAGAAGCAAACAACGGAACGGGCGACGGTGTCAGGTGTCAACTTACATCCCAACTAACAACAATGTTCAACAACACCAACTGGCCCAGCCCAAGCCACCGTCTCTTGTAAACCTTGTAATGCGTATGGCTATAACTCTCTTTCTTCTTCCCCAGTCCAAACCTCCTCTTTTTGCGTCTTGGCGGCTGTTGTTGATGCGCTTCATCCACCACTCCATTCTCGGGATCGCCGGTACCATCTCTTCCAAAGTCGACTATTCTCATGTTAGAGGACCCGCTTACTTCGTCGTCTTCGGGTGGGACGTCTTCGGAAAGATGCGCGGCGTTCTTAAGCATCGAGTCGTTCGTTCGGGTGTGCGATAAGTTGGCCATTTTGGGTTCTGCGGACGGCTTCAATTCATAGATGGCGCGCAGCGCATAAGGGTGTCGGTCTGTTGATGAATAAGGACTGGGCTAACGATAACGCTGCAAGCCGCTGCGAAAAGAATAGCTCGGAATGTCCGGAATCCCAACGTCCCAGACGCGCGCCTTAAGTCGATGCAGTTGTTGATGTTGTTCTTATCGGTCCCGCGTCGCAGTCGCACATGTCAAAGCCGGGCGCCTCCTCCCAAGGTTGTCGCACGGTCTATTGGCGTGGGCTAAACAGTCGCGACCTGATGAGGCAAGGGGTACGCTTGCCGGGTGGTGCGGGACGGACTTGCCGTCTTATTAAGCTAGTCGGCCGCCACATTTGGCCTGCAGGTGGGTGAACTGTATCGTGGGAACTAGCCTTGCGCATTGTCGTCGCTGGGGTACGGGAGTCGGCTGATGCGTGCGCACTGGGAAAGATACTGCTTTTGGATCAACAGACGTGTTAGGCGAGGCGGGGTACAAGGAGATCGGCATCGCGACTGCGAGGGGGTTGATAAGATTGGGGAAGAGGAAGCTTGTGCGTGCATCTCGACGTTTACTTTTCAGCGCACAAGAGATTAAGCAAAGGGTGAGCGGATAAGGTTGCTTCGCTGGAATGGCCCAGATAATTTGGAGCTCAGATTTGGCTCGCTTCGCTATCCCATGTTGACCTGGCAGGCACGCAGGATGTAGCCGGAAGGAAGCACTCGGTAAGCTGCATCCAAGCTCCCACTTTGATGAGGCTTGAGGCAACAACCACCCACGATGGGTGTGCACGCCAACAAAGCCAAGCCAATCCACGCCCACCTTGATTACGAGCCTTTACCGCATGCGAGCGAGTACCTGCGCATTCTCAGCCTGCACGCTGGCAACGCATGGGAGCCTATTCGATGTAGCCTTCGTCCAGTCAGCTTCCATGAGAAGCCGCATTATGACGCTCTGTCATACACCTGGGGCGACCCAAACGCCACGAAGCTGATCGAGGTCGATGGCGTCGCGGTCAAAGTTACCTCCAATCTCGAGCAGGCGCTTCGGCACATGCGCGATCCGGACAACGACCTTCCGCTGTGGGTAGACGCTGTTTGCATCAATCAGCTGGATCCGACGGAGAGGTCGCACCAAGTGGCCCTCATGGGCAAGATATATTCCGGATGCGCCCAAGTACGGATTTGGCTAGGCTGCGATGCCTCGCGATGCCGCCTTGGCGATGGAGCGAATGACAACTCAAACGGAGCGGATCCATTCGAAATCGTACGTTTGCTAGCGAGTGGCCGCCATGTCTATGAATGGCAATGCTTTGAACCCCAAGCTCCCGATACAGCTGTCTACAAGCCCGATGACGACTTCAATCCTATGTGCGAAGGCTTCCTCGCTGTCTATCGAAGCCCTTGGTGGACACGCTTGTGGACCGTACAAGAAGCTATCCTACCAGGGACAGGCACTTTGTACTTTGATACATGGACGATATCGCTTCAGACGATCACCGATTGCGGGTTATACTACGACCAACATGCCTGGAAGCCATGTTGCAATCCCCCCGTATCGCAAATGCCTATTACAATGATCAATGCTCTAAAGGACTTCTGCACCATGACTCGGAGCCTTCATTATGATCGAAAACGCGATGGCAGCGGCAAGCTCAAGCGACATGACCTACAAACACAACATGTAGTATACGGGTTTCGGGCGTGTGAGGACCCGCGCGATAAGGTCTACGGGCTGTTGGGGGTCATTGATGACCGATTCTTCACCCCGGATTACACTTTGTCTAAAGAGGAGGTTTTTCTTCAGGCTACTTACACAATGCTTTGTCGCAAATGGGGGTCATTGAAGAGTCTGACAGGCCCTCAATATGGCCCAGCGCCGGACAAACTGGCGTCCTGGGTGCGGGACTTTGATGCGCCTTGCGATCGCATGGACGTCGATGTAGTTTTCGATCGGCACAAATTATTTGATGATGGTGTTTTCAATGCTTCCGACGACCACAGGTCGAGGCCTGTATTGCTAAGAGCTTCCCCGCGGTCGTCGGGTGAGATGGTAAGACGAGTGGGCCTTGAGGTCGTAGGCAGGCGCGTAGGCAAAGTTACCTTTGTATCCGAGGACGTACAGACCTTAATATCCCCGACAGACGATGCTGATATAAGACATAAAGACGTCTTCAGGAGATGGATGCTATCCGCGCTCGACTCGAGTGCGTTGGACATGTTAGCTCACATTAGTATGCAGAGCAATCTCTATAAAGGCCCGAATAACGTCATGGCGTTTTGGCGAACGATGCTTAGTGGATTGGACATTCCAGTCGATAGAGAAGGCCACGCGTGGGATCTCAAATCTAGTCCTGGAACTAGTCCGGCAACAATGCGTTGGCTCGAACACTTTCTTGCATGGGTGGAAGGAAAAGAGGATACGATCAATGCCACACTATGCCACATGATCTCCGTCACAACACATGGTCGTCGCTACTTCAAAACCGGGGACAACGACCAGGGCCTCTGCTATCCGCACGTTCGTGTAGAGGACGAGGTATGGGTTCTAGACGGTGGAAACGTACCCTTCATTCTGCGGCACGCGCATTTGAACACAGAAGAAAGCGATGCACTCAATCCCGTAGTTGTGGATGGATTCTGGAGTGATGGCAAAATCAACTTCAGGTTTGACGGCCAGTTGGACAAGCCGCCTGAAGGCTATTACGAGTTTATCGGCGACTGTTATTTTGACGGATACATGCACGGGGAAGCGGTTCGAGACAGCACCATTCGCGAACAGTCTATCGTGTTGGTTTGAAAGGATTGTTGATACACTGGTCCAGGAAGAAGAAAGCACATCATAGCGGAAAGCTAATACAGTGATGACTGGGCGTCAGGTCGCAGATATGTAGGTGAGGATGTTCTGCGCAACGAAGCAGCGCCTGGTCGTACGTCGAGCTATGACGTACATGCAGGCGTTTTCTACTGCAACGTCTGACCTACGAATTCCCCGACGTCCTCACTACATCACCGTTTGCGAGGGTATCACGAATTTTAATGTTTTACCATTCATGTAGCTGTCAGCCTTAGCTGCGGGAGCCTAAGTATGCTTACGACCGCTACCAATCGGAACATGAACTATCACCATACTGTTTGAGTCATCTACCCGCTATGTAACTGCACATCACAGCTCTGAGCGACGCGTTCGATAGCCTCAGCGAGTACCGCAACCATCATCATGCGCACCTGGTCAAGCAGCTGCTCGCCCATGCCTGTAGCCACACTAACCACGAAGCACACAGGCGCCAGCAGCACGTCGCGCTCGACCTTCTCAGTCCAGCACAATTGACGCAGCAGAGCGGCGTAAACCCCCATAAAGATCGCCGATTTCCAGAGAGTAAGAAGCAGAGTCTTCGGTCCTAGAAGAGATGCGCTGAGGAAGGCAATCGCGTACATGGCCATGACACCAAACTGAATGTCTCGTTCAAGCTGCGCATTCGAGATCTCGAAGGGACCGATGGTGAGGCGCTCCGGGAAGTCGCCGATCTTTCCATCGTCCCTGATCAACCGCTTGGAGATATTGGCTTTGGCGAGGCCGGCCGCGTCGATCTTGAATATGACGTTCAGCGGGCCTATATTGTTGACCGTATGATTGGCATTGCCTTGACGCTCCCGGTTGTGTTCGGCCAGCGCTTCGGCGATCTTGCTGGTAACATACTCGCGGATACCCTGACTCAGCGAACTGTCATCGTCGAAGATGTTAGACGCGAAAGACTTGCGGGGGCTGGGTTCGTCTTCATGCAAAAGCGTGGAGTAACCGTGCTCGTCGGCGGTGTCGATGAGAAGTGGGGGTTGTGGCGATATACGAGCAGTCTTAAGGAAGTCGTTTGTGCGCTTGATGCTGGTGGTCTTGTACTGCACCATACTGGGGTCTTCGACAGGGCCGCCGTGCTGGGGATAGCTGGGGCTGTCTGCAAGCTTGTTAGTGGGTGCTTTGACATCGTGAGTAATTTGACGTACCAGGCGATTTCTGCCGCCCTGCGGCGTCCACGAACCACGCATCTTTGATATGGCTGCTGTCCGCGTCTGTTCAAGTGTTAGCATGTAGTATTGAAGCGCCCTGGATAGACACTTACTGTCCATGGCTTCTGCGATCCTGTGGGAAGAACCCAATGGCAACCCGCTTCGCTTATCTGCATCACCAGCTTTACGTGGAGAGGTATCCTGGCTTTTGGCGACCTCAGATTCAACGGAATCACGGTCTGCTTCCTCAGCATGGCGTTTTGGAGAGGCACCTTCAACTGCTGTAGAGCCAATCGTCTCACCATCGCCAACCTCGGTCTCACCAAGTCCCTGTAGACTGTGCATGGACTGCTCGCTGGGTAGCAGACCGATCTGTTCGTATCCGGGGCGCACATACGGCGACGCCAATGGGCTGGAAGCGACGGGCGGAGGCGACTTCTGCAGAGTACCGGGACTGGACGATGCGCTCGAGCTGGATTGTTGTCTGAACAGTCCGCGGAAGCGGCTCGGCTTTCGATCGGCTTTCGGTGTCGCGTTAGCGGGACCACTGAGGCGAGCCATATCGATGTCTTTAGCGTTGGCGGGCGCTTCTTTTGGTGTTGTGGATGACATCTGGGGGAAGTAGAGTGAGTGGAGGGGAACGGGCTGCGGAGTGTTGTGGCCGTTGTCGCGCTTTGCTAAGCGAGAGTCGCAGTGAAGGTGAGTCCGCACGGAGCCAAACGCGTCGACAATTCACTCAGTATTCTAACCTTGAAGGATCCGATATAACGCTCGATTATGTTATGAGTCTCCCCATCTCCACGGAACTGCGCAAACAATCCCGTCGCGGTGTTTGATGAGGCACAACCAACCACATAATTGCTTGCCTTACCTTCACTCAAGCGAACAATGCCCCATTCTGGTCGCGGTGGGCAGCGGTCCTCTTCTTGAGCTACTACGCAGGGCTCGATGCTTGCTCGTCCAAGCGTATTTGTGTGTCCTACTTTCCCAATGGCTCATTCAAGGGCGGAACGATGCGAACATTAGGGCGGCCAGTGACTAAGTGCTTTTGCAAACATTCAGCTTTGAACTGCGGACTGACAGCAAGCCAGCAGTTCAGTAACCTAGATAGTCCGTTCGTAATGTACAGGGCGACTGATGTGTGTACGGCGTAGACTTCCCGTATGGGTGCTAAACAGCCCGGTACTGTGGGCGTTGTCCCAGGAACCCAATAATAGTTTGATGACTATTGCGCAGACCGGCGGTATGTTGTAGTCGGTGATTCAACCCTGAACGCTACGCTGCACCTTCATCTCCACACCAAGAAAGAGCCCGAACTACCAGAGGATTCAAGGAAACGTGGGTATCTGAAGAGTCAAAGGTGGACTGTCGACTCTGTCTTTAGTATCGACGTGCGGCGGATGCGCGACCTCCGTGAAATGCGCATTCTGTGCGATGACGTTATACTTCTCGTCCGTCGAGACTGGAGCCGGCCATCGCGCAATGCTTGAATGGGCAACCTTGCGTGAGTAAAGCCAGAGGAGCCGCGGTCGGAGAGACTCAGCGTGAGGATGGCAGAAGGCTGCGTGCTCTTCCAGAGTGTCGGAGTCGTGGAGTCACCCGCCAAGGAGAGCTCGACGGGTGGCTCCGGCGATGGCTCGTGCACCTTCTATGTACGCGTCTTCCGCGCCGGTGTATGCAGGCGCGCCTTTGGACCGTACAACTGTGGTATCGCATTTACCAGCAACTGATAATGACAATGAGTACACGCTCAAAGCCGCTCCCCAACATGTCCTCCGGAGTCACGCTTGTAAGGTCTCACGACAGCCACGTCGTTACGCATGAGCATGCCCAGCAGCCCATGGTGCCGTCTTCCTGTCGTGGATTACGGGCATGACATCGCGACGGTGTAAAACGCTCTTCTAGAGACTGTTGCTTTCGCGAACCACACCCCACAAGATGCGGTATCTAACGCTTAACATCAAGACCTGCTTGGCGCCAGCACGGTACTCAGCCGTAAAACTCGGATTGCGATACTGTGCGTCGCCAGTAATCCGGAACGATAGCGCACCCTGAGCGCATGGAAGATGAAGTCATCCCTGCTGTTCTTGCTCGCTGGCCTTAGCTCAGTAGCTCTGGCTAATGCCGAAACACCCAGCGGAGAAAGCCAAGCCCAGGCCACAAGCAACATACCGAGCGCCGACAAAGTCCACATCGCTATGGACAATGCGCAGGCCGCGCAAGATCCCTTGATGATGGGTGCGATGCCACCAAGCGACAACGGCGCCTCGCCCCGCCACCGACGGGAGAAGCTACAGCTGCTGAAGAGAATGGACAAGAAGAGCGGTAAATGGGGAACGAGCCATCCGCGTTACCGGCTACTCGAAGCGCTGTGGGCATATACGAGGTACCGCGAACGCCACATGGCTGAGCTGGATCGCTGGCGGAGTATGTACAAGAGCGTCAGCAAGAAGCAGAAGAAGGTC